CGAAACTCCAATGGACGGCCCGCTTTTAGTACTGGTATCGCCGCACAAGCCCAAGGACTCTGTTGGTTACGACGTATAAAGCCCATGGTCAATAGTTTCTGCGTGTGCGTCCTCAAAAAGTCACTTTGCGCGGGAGCGTAGCGCCTGGACCTCGTTCGAAACGGCCTAGCACCATCCTGGATGGTAATTTACAGTGGATCCACATTTGCTGGTGAATCATTGCCGAGCTTAACTCGAAAGACATCTTCAAATTCTAAAACCAAATCTCGAAGTATTGGCAGGAACTCTGCATCAAAACTATTCTCTCCAGCCGCAATCACCAAAGCCTCAAGATGCTGGCCAATATCGTCAGGTACAACCTGCGATGAATTTGGAGTCTCACACGGATCATGATCCTCGATGAAACTACCCGACGCCAACTGTGAAAACGGAGCGTTGACATCGATTCCCAGAGACCCGAGCGTGTCTTTACCCAGGATGAGCTCCTCTTCATGTCTTCTAACACAATGCAGCTCACTTAGCTCAAGTGGACAGGGTCAGCCACCGTCTGTAAGCTTAAGTTCAACTTGGCTTCATCGTGACACACGATAACTGAGCCACCAGCGACAGTGACATCCATCTCTTGTTTTAATGGATGCACAGAAATCACCGCCCCCAGCTCTACCAGCTCGTCAAGGGACTCCCTCGAGATGTAACACGAGGTAGCACCAGGGTCTGCACAGTACGGGAGCGATAATAAGCCGTTGACAACGACCTCGCTCATCGCAATGACCGGAGCGACCTTCTTGGCTCTCGACGAGGCTCGCATTGACTTCATGCGTTCAATTGCTGCGGCTTTCTCCGTTGTACTACTGCCACACAGTCTCGTTACCAGTGACTACCCTGACAGTGCCAGCGTCCCGTACGAGGGGGCGTGCTCTTCGTATCCGCCGACCTCGACGAGCCCCCACAATGAACAACAGAACGGCCGACTGTTGGCAGTAAGCTGCTAGTCGCCGTGTCCCGCTCGTTTGTAGCCATATCCCGTTTGTTCGAGTTCAACTTGTCTTTTTGGTCTTTGGACAGGGTATGGTACGTGTGCTGCGCTCGGATTTCCCTTCAATATCCCGAAACAGGACAAAGTCGTTGCGCTTCGCCCCTTGGTCGACATATCTAGTATGATGACGAGCTTCGTCTCGAAGGATTGCAGGCTTCAGATTGTCGATCGGAAAATCGCAACGCAACTTCATACGCTCGTTGTACCCAGATTTGGCAAATACATCTCCAAGCCCGTTCCTCTCGATCAAATTTGAAAATCGTGGATATACTTCAACACCCGCGCGTCCATATCATCCTCCTGCGTATCGATGTTCGAATGCTTTTTGAAGAGTGCCTCCAAGTCTGGGACCTGGGCATTCTTCAGACTATGCACTCGTTGGCTGGTTAGAGGCCTCAGCTCATTCATACCCACGTCATCGACGGGCTTCTGTAGCTCGTACAGGCAGAGTACTCCGAGCAGCTTTGGCTCGCTCGATAACTTTACCGGTCGCTTTGCCACCTCTGGACGCTCGCCACTCTCGACGCAGCGTTGACGATAGCCTCTTCATACTGCTTTTATTTTTATTTTACGTGACTAGTGCATCTTGACTCCATTCACCCAGCTCAGGTGAAAGGATGAACCCAAACACAGGTTGGTGCGTTCCTTGCATGATGACATCGCCGTCACTTTCGTACTCAGTTGCGGTAGCCATGCTTGAGTGGTCCACTTGGACTAAAGTTAACTTTGTGCCGTGTATTACGCTTGCTAAAATGCTTGGCTGCTTGATTTATTGCATATACAAAGTGAGAAGTGACGCTCGTCACTCTCGACGCAGCGTTGACGGAAAGCCTCCTCATACTGCTTTCTTTTTCTTTCACGTGACTAGTGCATCTTGACTTCATTCGCCCAGCTCAGTTGAGCGGATGAACTCAAACACAGGTTAATGCGCTCCTTGCATGACGACATCGCCGTCACTTTCGTACTCAGTTGCGGTAGCCATGCTTGAGTGGTCCACTTGAACTAAAGTTATCTTTGTGCCCTGTATTACGCCTGCTAAAATGCTTGGATACTTGATTCAATGCAAATACAAAAGTGAGAGACTAAACTAGACTACTTCGAGCTCAACTCTACTTAAGTGCAAGACAATTCACCCTAGGAGCGCCGTGACAACCAACTGGTTGCAGTTGCAGCTCGGCTTCACCCCTACCCTGCGTCTCGGCATCCATGCGATTGCCACCTTGCTGCAATAAGCTGGATTCTCTGATCATGGGCTCTGCTTGTCGAAGTGCTGGTGATCCCCACAGCTCCTCATGGAAAAGGAGGTAAGCGTGTCAAGCAAGCTGTCAATCAACTGGCCTCGATATGAAGAGTCTCTTTAACTCTGAGAGCGATGGCGCGGTACTTTACGGAACTGGTGGACAACCAGGAACAAGAAGAACGGCAGCACGGTGAAACTGGACAATTGCAGACGGTGAAACTGGACAAGAGCACGACCGGACGCCGGCGCAGGTAACTGTCATATTTGTTTGAGCTATGAATTGCTAAGATTCGGTTACACGTGGGTAATGATGCCAGGAACGCGTTTATCACACGCTTGAAAGAATGGTCCAGGACCGGTGTAATTTTCACATGAAAAAAGATGGGAACTCCAATAAATGACGCCATGAAAAGCAGCTCCAAGAGCAAGGCTTTCAGCTCCGCGAGAACGATGCCCGAGCGCCCCATGCAGTAAGCGGATTGCTTCTCGCGTTGAATGGAAATCGCATCGACAATAATGTCCGCTACAGCTGAGTTCCGCAGCATGATGTCAGCTGCAACTCCTTCAAGTGCTGAAGCGAGCTTGTGCGATGCTTAAAGCCCCTTTAAGCATCCAAGAAATGATTGATAAGTTTGGTCTACAAAATGCAAAATACACCGATACAAGTCGTCTCCTAAACTCCCTATTTTAATTATAAGCATGCACTATGTATTCCGACCAACTCTGCCATTTTGTTCCTACATATGCAGTGTATTCAGTGAGCCACTCATTTACCAATGTCCTGTTATTTCGAAACGGCCCAAATCGTACTTTAGTGGTCGATTTGCGTACTTAAGATGATTCTCATTTAAGGCAAGTCCATAATAGAATTGCGCTACGTTTATTCAAAGAACCGAGGACAGAAATTTTAAGTAGAACGCACAACAACGGAAATTCCCGAATAATACTCTCTTCCCGATATTAAACTATTCTGTACCGCTCCTGAAATGACAAATTTTATGCGAAACAGATGCGAAAGAAAAACATAGCGTTAAAACGAACAATTACTCAGAATTTGATCCAAGGCAGTTTTGAATAAGTGCATTTCATTAGAATATCACTTTAGGAGGAATCCCAAACAAAAACAAATAAGCAGCTCTCAATTTTACCGGAAAGCGGCGTTGCTTTAATTATTTACAGTTAGGTAAATCTATACTTTTGGTCAGAGTGTAGTTAATCTAAGTGGAACGCATCTTGCGCTTCCTCATACACGTGTGCTAGCGTGTAAGCCAAAGTAGTGGCACAGAGTAGGCCCATTAGGGCATTTTCACCCGTAGTTGAGTAAAATGAAACGTAAATCCTTGCTGGACCAAAACCAAAATCGTGCAGGATAGCGTTGTTCATACACAAAGCTCACCAGCGTGAAAAACTTTCTCCGTCTCCAAGTGGCTACATGTAGTCATTTGTGTGTAGCCCCAATGATGTTTTTAATTAACGAGATTTTTTGGTACGGGCATATCTCGAGCCCAAGACTTGCATTCAACCTGAGCACACGGATCGTGCGGGAGCAGCGGCTGAATTATCGTTGAGGGATGTTATATTATGTCTTTAAGCTAAATGGGGATCAACATTCCAAGGACCTGCTGCGGTTTGGCGCATGTGGGGCAACCACATTACAAGGAGATTTAATCGATCAGCGTGGGAGCACGATATTGAGAAGTTACAGCCGCGACCTTGCTTCACTTGACAGATTCACCTTTGGAACAGCGTATGGTTAGATTATCACAATCGACAAAGGTAGTTTTAGACTGTGTGCGAGCGGCGTTAGACGCTGTCCGACAGGTTCGTCGTGATAATGGAGCCGTTGCAAGACGTCTCGAAGAGCTGGAGCGAAACCTGGTGATACGTGAGGGCATACTTCAAGTAATTCAAGCGAATATTGCTCCTCCCTCCCCCATATCTGCTCACGATCCAAATCGGCTCCTGAATACTGAGAACATTGGTCACGCCCGCTAAAGCAGTGAAATTATGGGCTTTTGTCTGCATTGGCACGTTCCAAATTCACGTCACAGTTTTTGCGGCTGAGATTGAAGTTGCTAAAAGGTTTTTCTGCTCACTATAATTTATTCCATCTCGGTAAGCCCCAAGTTGTCCTGATTACGCTCGCTGGCGTTGGTTTCTGGCCGTGCTCGAGTCTCTGCGGAAACTGGTCCAGTGTGGTCAAAAAGTGTCCTTGGCGCTTCCAACCACTGTGCTCAAACGTTTTTCCGTGATGCAAGAAACCTTAATGGGGCAACTCAATCGTGTTGAACCACCGCCAGCCAAGTGGTGGGAGGGTTATCAGCGCGCGAGCGAGCAAATTTGCAAGTGAGCGGCACGTTACCTACGACTAACTACTTCTTCCGTGTTGGTTCTCATTGTCGATCGCGTCTTCTGATTTCTGGAAGAGGTGACTTGCCACCCGGAAAATCCGATATCCGTGCGGATATCTTGTCTTTCCGTGATGCGAAACCTTAATGGGGCAACTCAATCGTGTTGAACCACCGCCAGCCAAGTCTGGGGGCGTTGTGAGTGGCCCCAAGAACAATGCTTAGCACGACCACGGGCTTGGCTTCAGATCATCTTGCGTGATAACTCCTTTGTTGACTGCGCCGTTTGTACTGGGTAGTCCTCGAAGCAGCTACTCGACCATCGACCAAGCAACTTGATAGCCAAGCTGTCAGCGTCTCCATTCAACAGAGACGTTGCGCCGCCAATCCGAATGGAATGGGTAGAGTAGTTCTCTTCACGAATCCCAATAGACGCCGCTAGCTTTTTGAATGTCCTCGTCACTTCCTCTGCATCCAGATCTACACATAAATGCAGGGCATCCTCTCGTCCGAGTTCACTTCTCGCTTGTCTTATGTGTCTTAGCGCCACTTTTGGGCACAGCCATCCGTCCCCGGTTGCGAGCATTGTTCTCCACGCACCTCTGCCGTACTGATCATTCTTCGCGCCTGACAGTCCGATGGTCACTGACACTGCCATACGATATGGGGTTCTCACTCCATTTCCATTTAAAAAGAATGCATCCGATGCTTTTAGGCAATATGATCTCCGTTGCGTTCCCATTCGTAGAAATTCCGATCTTCTTAGGAGAAAGAAGTAAGCCAGCAGAACGGAGCCCCACAAAAGTCGAGTCCGGGGTCTAGATAAGTCGAGGCGCCGGTGCAGCAGACGCAAGAATGCCGGGCTGGTAGGCTGCTTCTTCAGAGTCGGGTCGGACAAGCGCTTGATTCCTCGCATTAAGATGACTAGTGAAGGAGACGACTCCACTCGAAAATCCCAGAATCGCTGCTGATACCAGCGAACACTCGATAGTTTCAACTGAATCGTCATATACTTATTCCCTCGGTGGCAATTATTCCAGCCGTATCTCCAGCAGTATATAGCGAATAGGCCGAGTCTTGAACTCGCTTGTGTGGGCTCTTCGTCGAGCCACGGAGACCATCTCATCCATCCAGAGAATCGGCACCACTGGTTCCAGTGAGTCCGGTATTTGGCTGAGGTAAGCTCTGTGATGGCGCGTCCCTGGAGCACTGCGCCCATAGCTTCGAGAGATCGTCGAAGGGTGGACGAACTTGCACCTGTCTCCATGCACACGACATGTTAGTCCACATCTCGAACAAAGGGTGGTCCGAACGCCAGGCTCGTGATCTGGCGTCTGCCATGGTGTTCCTCTCGCCTGCCACGTGCTTGGCCGTGCACAGGATGGCATACTGGAACTCCGCCAGTGACAGTAGCCGATTGTATAGCTGCGCGAGAGGCTGTCGGCTATTGCGCCGCTGCGTCCACGACACTGCACTTGTGTTGTCGATCCAGCAGCGTACGTGGATCGGTTTGTGTGGATACATTCGAACCCACGTTAGGCCCCAATGTAGCACCGCCAGCACCGCACTTTGGAGCTCGCGAACGTTAATAGAATTCACAGAGACGTCGTCTGTGAATGCTGCCTGCTCTTCAGCGGTGAACTGTACGCGAATAAACTGGTGGAGTGTCGGTTCAAGGGCGCATAGACCGTCATTTGAGGCATCCATGTGCACGTGCACTATGGGATTTGCCACGTTGGCGAATTGACCGACAGGAATGCCATTGAAATGCTCGTGCTGAGTCGGATCCATTTTAAGTCTTCGAGAGCGGCATCGTCGATCTTGCGGACTGCGTAACGTCGGAGCGGCGTTGTCATGGCTTGTAATCGCTGGAAAAACGATCGAGCAGGCGGACAGCACGTCATGACGTGGCGCAGGCAGCCCAACAGTTTTAATAGTGTTGTTTTTGAGGCGGTACCAGCACCTATGACGCCAGAGACAATCAGTTGGGCCTTTTCGATCTTCGCTACTGGGATGGTGACTTCGCCTGTGCTGGTATCCCACTCGAGGCCCAACGCTCTGCATCGCTCACTCCATGTCGTGAATTTGCGTTCATTGATGGCTGCGGGCCCTAGTACTGTAGCCATAGCTCTTCGTAGAGCTAGATTGGCCACAAAACAGCGTAGTCCTTCGTCTACCTCTGCGCAAGTATGGTCATCGCACCAGAATGATCCCACTAGAGGTGTCTCAAAGCGTACTTGAGGAAGTCCACACTCATACAACCCGTTAATTAGCGCGCCGGGAAGGAAGTATGAAGCTGGGGATCCACACCAGCCAAACCCGTATGAGAAGTCGATGATAAGGAGACCATCGATCACACATGCAAACATATGCACGTGATCGGCATGGATAGGCACGTGCCTAAAGGCCCCTGCAACATCACCGAGCATTAACAGAATCCGTGCGTTCGGGAAGCTCAACTTCAAGACATGTATCCTCATGGCGATATCCCGAGGCGGATTATAGCTGACGTCTGGAAGGTTGGCACGATCCGTGAAGTCATTGACTGAACCTCCGTCTGGAAAGGAGTAGTCGTCGATGATGCGAATATCCGGGCCATCCGCTCCTGTTTTATCAACTACTCCCACAGGCGATACGAAGACTTCCTGCCACTGCTTCAGAAGTGTCTCCTTCACTATCAGATACCTACCATCTCTCTGTCCTTTACGCAGATGACGCCAGACTTGCGAAAGATGGATGTAAGTTGAGTTGTAATTGTTTGGCCGGCCCTTTTGTCGAGCCGGTCGGTGCGACAGCCACTCAGGAACAATTCCTTGCCTCACCACGATGTTCCAGCGTCGAAACGTATCGACTTAACTGGAATTCGGTGGTTGGTCTAACTGAAACAAGCTCTTGTTGGCCTCGGGTCGGCATCGGTTTGTCCTCGAACAAGCCGTACAAAGTCAGGGAGTGTCATTTCCGCCGCGAGTGCCAGTTGCGTTAGGAGCTCAACCTTGCCCATATCTACGGTGTCATCGATATCTTACTCTGGTGGACTTGGAACTCCCACTTTGGCAGCCACTGCAGCGATATTGTGCTCGGTCTCAGCTCGATATTGGTCACTAACTCGTTTTAAAGTCTCCATATATTTCTTGTGTTTCTCTGAAAGGTGCTTTCGTAAGTCCTTTGACGGAGACTTCTCTTCAGATCCTCTACCACCTACTGTCTATGTCGATGGAGGACCCAAACTGGAACCAATACTTGACTGTGGAGCTGGGACGCCTTCACTTCAGAGGTCCGCGACCTCGGGCGCCAAACCTCCGAAATTCTTGATAATGTGCTGCTTCACAGGTTCAGGCAGCGTCTTAGGTCGGAAATGAGCCCGCTTAGTGGAGAAACACTTGCCTGATGTCCCGTCAGAGCTTCCTGGACATCCTTTCTTGGACAAATACTTCATGCAGAGGTTCAAGGCTCCTTGCTTTGGCATGTGCCGCAGTACATCCCTCTTGTTCTCGCTTGACGCGTTTCCCGACTGCCTGAGTAAGGCTGCGCGTTGCTCGTAGGCTTAACCTCCAGCTGCGCCTTGAGCGTGGCTATCATCGTCTTCTGCTCATCGTACAGGAGCTCGGCTGGTAGGGGGTCATGGAGCGACAGATCGTCCTTTATTCGCATCGCCGAGATCAGGCCTTCGGCCAATACCAATCCTCGAAATTGACACAACTTTGCGTCAATCCAGAATACCAGGCATTTGCTGTACCGCCGTCAGGCACACCAGTATTACCAAAGCTCTCTACGAAGTGCTCAATCGCGCGAATGAAGTCCACTGTACTCTCGTTGTAAATGCCGCCTCCAAACTGGCGAAGGTTTCTCAATGCTTCCTTTAGGTTATCGTAAGATGGATCCTTCGTAGCCGGCTGGATACAATTCTTTCGAGAGAAGTCCGTCATGTTCACTGACGGCACTTCGCCCTTCATCAAAGCCGACCGAGAAGGTCCTAAAAAGTGCATTATCGACAGTCCCCGAATGCGAAACCCAAAATCATATGCGCCTCGAAGCACTGGTGGCGTCCACAGCCGCAGTTCGGCACCACGGGCCTGCTGTTCGTATTCAAGAATGCGTTGTGAATCCTTACCTTGATGATCTGGGTGGCCAATTTTGTCGTGGATGTCCTTTTCAATCGTCGTTGGGCGAAATGTCGTTGTCGTGTTCGAGCGCATCTCGTCGACTGCATATGTGCCGAACTCTGCATGACGGATTGGTCCTCCTCCGATGGCGTTCAATATGTGATTTTTGCGTTGCACTTCCCGCTTATCCTGGTCGTCCTCCTCATCAGGAACCGCCTTCTACTTGAAGGTCATAGTCAATCCACTCGACCTTTACGACGTTAGCGGGCTGTTGCAGGGCCAACTTGCGCGCGCCAGCAACGTAGCGAAGATGGAGGACTGCGTCTGCATTCATGTGGTACCCCACGACTACCGCATAACATGTGTCCATGTCAATGCCGTCCGGCTGGATGAATGCGACAGGGTTGCCTACGTAGGAGCCCGGCAGCAGCTTTCCCTCGTCATCGCTGACCCTTCGCTTCTTCACCACATCCAGATCAATAGGTTCTAGCGCCTCTCCGTCAGACGGCCCACCAGGATCCACGATGTTGACGTGCACTTGAGCGCCGTCGACACGGTCTACCCGCACATATTGAAACACACTCATAGACTCCGCGTGCGGGGGGGGCCAGGAACGCCAGAGACCCCTTCGTTATCGTGGACGTGTTCATTATCAGCGCGCGAGCGAGCAAATTTGCAAGTGAGCGGCACGTTACCTACGACTAACTACTTCTTCCGTGTTGGCTCTCATTGTCGATCGCGTCTTCTGATTTCTGGGAGAGGTGACTTGCCACCCGAGAAATCCGATATCTGTGCGGATATCTTGTCTTTCCCATGTCAAATCTTTCAAAACGACGAAAGGTCTAAGCGACATATGGCAGCAAGTCTTGCTAGATGATTTCAGCGTAATGGCGCTGAAATGACCGCGTTATAAATCCAAAAAGGAACTTTATTTGATTGAAAAAAGGACATTATGCTGAAAGGAAACTGTGAGCCACGCCAACGCTCCGCAAGTAGTTAATAATCTCGGGATCCCATGAATGGCAGCATATCTAATATCCAGACCGAGGGTATTGGCATACAAGTCTTTTTGGCGAGTGCACAAAGTCTTGGCAACACTTCGTGAATTTATCACGGTCGAAGGTACCATCTGTATTGAAGTGGTTGAGTATTCCGCTGACGCCGATGAACGCCAATACCAAAACGAGGGGCTTCCGCTCGAACTCCCCTCGAATCGCGACTTTCTTCTCGCGCAAGACATATCCTCGCCTACGCACCAGACCCATGTTGTCGTGGCGCGCTGAAATTCTCCTTTCTGCTTATAGATCTTTACCCAGTTGCTCACAGTGCGTTCGGACTTAGTGAAAATGCGCAAGCTGTTGCTTCGAGTATCCTAGCCTGTAGTACGCGAATAAGCAGTGGTAGACCGTGTTCTGGTGAGCATGCTGCCGCGTCCGCTGCCTCCATGGTTGACTTCAACTTGTATGACCTTCACTCTGAACAAAATTTCTTTTTTTACCAATCAGTCGCCTAGATGGGAGTTTGGGTGTGGGCAAATTTGGCCAGAATTAACAATATTATAGTCGCGGAAGCGAGAGACACTTTTCTTTAAACAGGTTTGTTGAAATACTTTCCTTTTTTGCAGTATATAAAAAGCGAAATGATTTTCTATGTACTCTTTTACTTTTCCCAAAAACAATTTAGCGTACTATAATACTACTACAGTACTGCACCCCGTTTTCGCGCCCTTAGACCTTTGATAAACCTCCGGATGTGATGAGCCTGAATCCAAATGAACAATTGTTTGTCTGCTAAAATCTGATTGTTTTGCAAATCCTTTATGTTCCACCCCCGCGAAAACGGGGTGCAGTACTGTAGTAAGTTTGGACGCTTTTGTGCCCGCAAAATAGTCGAGCGCAGGACTATTCATTCAACCTGCAATTCAAGCAGCAAAGCCAATTGAACAATGCTGGCTGGCCATGCCGCCGTGCCACCGAGTTACCCTTGATCTCACCCCTGTCGAGCCGCCCCGCTCAAGTCACTTTCGAATTCGCGTCGTTGCCCCCACTCCGTTCGCACTCCGTCCAATGGCTCAGGTCTCGCTTCGCCTTCACCTTCGCCACCTCGACGCTTCTACTCGCGTCGGTTGCCTCGGCCGCCGACGAGTGCTCGTCCAGTGTAAGCGAGACCATCGTTGCAACTATCGACAACAGCACGTACTACGACACTTGCGCAGTGGAGGACGAGGGTGTGACGTTCAACGTCTCCACGCTCTTCGACGTGCTCAACTTCACGGACTCCGAGTTCCTCATGTTTTGCAACTCATCGACGTGCCTTGGGCCTGTGCACGAGATGATTCACTCGATCCCGTCCGACTGCCTCATCCTGTACGAAGGCACGGAGCGCAACCTCTCCGAAGAGGTCAAGGCACTACATGACGAGTGCCATAGGGCTCTGGGCACGGACGATGACGACGACGACGCCACCGACAGCGACGACATGCCCATGAGTATGAGCGGAATGAAGATGGACGGCACCACCAGCTCCACCAGTGGTGGCACCACGGGCTCCAGTGCAGCGTCAGCAGTGAGCGTATCTCTGGTCGCAGCTGCAGTCAGCGGCTGCACCGCTGTCGCTGCTCTGGTATAGAAACCAAGAGCTACAGATAAACTCGAGCTTTATTACCAGTATTGTTACGTTCTTGTAGCCTAGTAGCTCATATAATCCTCAGATTGATAAGGTGTTTTTCAGTCTGCCAGCTATCCTTGAAGGTCTTGGCTTCAGCAGTCTCGATACGATTCGAAATAGGTAGGGGGAATACAGTACTCTAAGCCAGGAAGGCGGCCAGGATCGCAGCAGAGACCACCGATCCTACCGTCACCACCACGGACGGTGCGTCGGACGAACCGGAGGCTGAGCCAGTGGAGCCCGAACTGTGCGCATGGCCACCCATGTCCATTTCTAAGTCCGCCGCGTCAAGGACCTCGTGGCACTGGTCATGGAGCTTATCGACTTCAGCTGCCAGGTCACGCGGCGTGCCCTGGTACGTGATGAGGCAGTCGACCGATCCCATGAGCCCATGCACGGGCTCGAGGCACGTGGACGAGTTGCAGAACGTCAAGAATTCCGAGTCCGTGAAGTTGAGTACGTCGAAGACCGACGTGATGTTGAAGGTCATGCCTTCTGCGCACGTTTCGAAGTAGGTGCTGTTGTCGACAGTCGCGATGAACGCCTCGCTCACGTCGGCCGAGCACTCCGAACCAACGGTGCCTGAAGCGGCAGAGCCTGAGTGCTCATGTTCGTCGTGGGTCGACGACGAGTGGTCGTGCCCCTCGTGGGCCGAGACGGCAGCCGACGCGACAAGAAGCGTCGAAACAGCGAGAGTGAACTTGGCCATTGCAAAAAGATGGGTGGACCTGGGGCGGATGCAGCGAAAGCGAAAGTGTGTCTCTGATTAATTCATGCGCAAGGTTGCGGTACAGCAAGGTGCTGTAGTACAGCCTGTACCCATGTTTTTGTATCGGGAAGCAATTGTTGATTGTCGCACGAGCTTTGCCTCCACTCACTTGCTCCATCTGGGTAGAAACTCTTCTTTGGGATAGCCTTGTTGAATGGGCAACGTGAACGACTCAAGACTCCACACTGGACTTGCGCATGTAGGTATTCCAGTGGACTACAGTACAGGTACATTAGCGACTCGAGTACACCACTGCTGTAGTGCACGGTGGCACCTACAGCAGTGGTGGCTGATCATAAAGACGCGTATAAACACCTCAAAAGACTGTCAATTATTAATAATAAAGTACAGCTGGTGTTTAAACGGTGCATCAGACACGGTACGGTGTACCATACAGCTCCTAGCACTGTAAGATGCCAAATAGAAGACCCATTGGGAGGTTGCTAATTCAATTAAATCAAGTTAGGGTACTGTATTTATAATTACGCATCGTACCACGTAAATACAGGTTTTACAATGGGAAAAAACTGTATTAACTGTTTAAACGTCACATGTGATCAGACTGACTTTGCCAGCACAACCTACTGGTGGCGGCGTGAAAACATAACTCACCGCCCTTGAGTACACATTGATGCCATTGCTTCGCAATACTGATACTACACCTTTTCAACTTCAAAATGGCGACAGAGTGACAAAACGTAAGTTCAAAATGACATCGAACATAGGAGCCAGCAAAGCCAAACTTGATATTGTCTTTATTCTCCTACAGGCATATCTTTCATCTGGATCGCACGCGCATGGAACTTCATGGTGTGCAACGAGCACTTGTAGCAAAGTTCTGGGGTGATAGCTTCGAGTACGAGGAGGTCTGCAGCCAGCTTTAGCAGCCAGCCAGCGTCCACCAAAATTGGCGGGAGTAGTTGCCGCCACTTTTTGCCTCTTTCATCTAATGAACTCCAAACGTAAATACTCCCATAAATATTAAGTGTCAGTGTCATGTCATTTTGAACTTACGTTTTGTCACTTTGATTTTACCTGTCGCCATTTTGAAGTTGAAAAGGTGTAGAATTTGTATTGATAGCGTCGGACAGTGTGCTGGTGCCGTCTCCAACGAAGTGATCTGCGAAACTAACCTTTGATGACAGTTGGCCCGTCTTGCCCTGTAGTCTAGTGTAGAAGGAAAATCGTCGACTGAAATGGATTGAGCCTCTATTAGAGGTTCCTGCTTTCGAAGGTCCGAATACAACCCAATAAAATGCGGCTTGTGCAGCCGGCTGCACTACAGCATTCTTGCAGCAATCAGGTATCCGATAACTCGGACCTGTTGAATGCATGTAGGTACAAGTTACATGCGCTGTGTAAAATGTCCTCAGCTGTCAGCTACAGTACATGTATACAGTAGATGCCTCTCCTCTATCTCTTGAGCACTTATAAGCTACAGAATGCTTTAAACTGAAGAAGTTGTGGTCGCCCAAACATATTATCTCCATTTTCGGGGCCTCGACAATTTATTATGAATATATTTCAAACTGATTTTTTTAGAGAACCTGTAATACAGTACTACATAGCAGTATTTCTATTCAAAGAAAATACTACTTTAGACTAATTTCACCGGTGAAGAGGACAAGAATAATGCATGTACTATAATAATATTCAGTGTACATCAGGTTTGAAAGGGCCTTTTCACTGTTCGTCGTCGGATCGCGTTCAGGTGATTGACAAGGCGGACTCGACAGAAGTTCGCAGGTATTATTTTACTGTACAGTCGAAGGCTGCATCGGAACGAATGTCTTCCTCGCTATTTCGAAGTACTGTACTCCTCAACTGACTCTCGTTTTTGCAGCAGTCGTTATTGGCGCTCATCAACTAGCCGTCCTGCGTTTTCGTGAAGCTTGGCAAGCCAGCCTGCCGTAGGCGCTACAGGTAGTGTACTGTACACAGTGTACACTGTAAATGCACGGGCCCCTGGCACAAGTGGCAAATCGCAGACGGGCGTTTCGGAGACATCGTTGCAATCGAACGCGAATGCAATTCTAAGTAGCATTCGAGCACTAACTTGCGAAAAGAAGCCACAGCCTGTGGGCTGCTTATTTAATAGACCAACGATAATCTGCACGAGCAGAGTACATGTACTTTCGAAGTAAGACCTTGCCACTGTAGTTCATGTACATGTACATGTACATGTATGAGCGTGTACAGTACAGTAGAAATAGAGAAGCATTGACGTGATGCGCCCCGGACCAGCGTACAAGTGGCACGCAGACGCTCCTACTTTTTTTGTCATCAGTGTCGGCGATCGAGCCTATCCAATGGATAATCCATGGCTTGCAGTTTTTTTCGCAATGCAGAGTCTACTAGAACCCAAAATCAATTACGAAGTACGCGACGAGATACAAAGCACTGCTGACTTTACTTATATGACGTAGAATTGTGGCAACCAGATGATTCATACCAACTCAATGAAAAATTTAAACGTTGATTTGTGAACTTACTGTATGAATTTGGAATTCTGCATGTCTACAGAGCATTCAGGCTTCCAACGGTAACGGTAGAGTACTAAGTAGTGAACTATGCAACATAGCGAAAGCCAAAATTTAGCTCGATCCATACTCTGTGCTGCATGGACTAGCAGCTTGGCTCCCATTATTGCTCGCCCGTTGACTACCAACGCTTCGGCGTCGTCTTATCCGCCGAGGTGTGATTTCACCCGAGCACAGTGTCCCAGCTTCCACAGTGTTTAAGGGTAGCTAGTGTCATGAAGAGGACGTCCTTGGGGGAGTTCGGGTTCTTCTTTCCACGGCCTACATTCCATTTTGACAGGCCATGGTCCTCGACAACATCCCAGAGTTGATCAAACTCGCGCGGCGAGAAATTGCACATTTTGAGGACGCGTTCGGGACCTTGGGTGGTGAGAGCGTGCTCGTACTTAGGGGGCTGGTGTGAGCGACTCGTTGTCACTGTCGACGATAGTGGGAATTATTTGAACGCGGGATATCGCGCGCTCTCGTGCGTCTGCCGCTACAAATAGGCTGTCCCAGCGGGCTCGAGCTTCACGATATTCGTCTTCCTGTGTAAGTTGGGGTCTCGTTCGTGACGGTGCCATGGTGGCGACAACTTCGGTTGGGTGAAATTGGAAATGAGTCGTTTTATTACGACTTTAGTGAATGTATGCAGTCGGGCGGAAGAGACTCCGTACCAAACATATGTAAATTGTTTATTTCAGTTTCTTAGTATGATCATCCTCAGATATTAGCTGCTCAGGTACACGGTACTTCACATATGTGCATGGGTTTAATTGATTTGCACTGTATCTAGGCGGATAGTCGGCGCCCACGCCGGAGTTCTACTGTAGACAATGTCTACTAGACATACATATGTACAGAGAACACGGTGCAAAGATTCTTCAGTGCAGGTGGGCCAGATGTTCCTCTCGCGACTTCCTCGCTGGAATGAAAACAAACTCGCCCTGTACACGTGTTTTGAATTTGCCTTGCCGCTGCTGTTGAAGTGTTCATGCAGCAATGCTACATGTGCAGACCGTACTGCACAGTTGGACCTCGATGAAGCCACCTCAGCAGTGGCTACTGCACTGTACTCGTACGCGAACGCGGTGCGATATACGGCGCTAAACAGTCTGTCCCACTGAGAGTCCCAGTGGGACTCCCACGGGTACTGTAGAGACATCGGTTGCTGTCTGAGTGTAGTGCACGTTCATGTGGCATACGGAGCCGCCTTCGGAGACCTGTTGCATACTTAGCGCCGGATGGCGATGACGTGAAAACTCTAGCCCACCTTAGGCTTGTGATGAGTCCTGCGTAGAGAGCACCGCCAATGGCAACGAAGAATTAATAGAAAGAAAACCAAGCCATCATGACGTGCTACACAGCTACGGTATTCAATTGTGTGGCTGGTCAGTAAGGATGAGAGGAATTATGGTTGGATGAAGAGAAGAGTTTAAGAGGAATATTTATACAACGCTCCACTCTGTTCATAAACTAATGAATCTATCACTCACGATAACAAGTACGGTCGAGATAAAAGCTCGACTACATGTACTTATAGGTACAGCAGTACGGGCTGGTCGCTCTGGAGGCGGTACTGGTCCTGGGAGTAGTCCATAGGCACGGCGGATGCACCAGGGTTCTCGTCGACAAACAGGCACTGGAGGACGTCGAGGATTTCGTGGTCAGATACGTTGGCAGCCTGAGGAACACTGATGTTCTGCTCGGCGGCGCTTACAGTAGTGGCGACGTTAGTGGAGATAGTGCTCATCGACCACGGAGCGTATTCAGCGACGGAAAGCGGGCTCGGACGGGCAAGCGGGGCGCGGAGCTGGGGCGGAGCCGCGGCGCGAGCGGCGGCCACAGCTCCAGGCGGGTGCTGCGTGCGCAGGTGGCGCGTGAGGTTGCCGGCCGTGCTGAAGGTCTTGCCGCACCCTTCAACGACGCAGATGTGCGCCACGCTGCCGAGGTGGTTCTGGAGGTGGCGAGCCAGCTTCTCCGACTTGGTGAAGATGCGCGTGCATCCCTCAACCGGACACTCGAGCTTCTTGAGCAGGTGAAGGCGGCGGTGACGCGCCAGGTTGCCCGAGGTGCTGAAGCGCTTGGCACACGAACGGATAGCGCACTGGTACGGCTTCTCGCCCGTGTGGGTCTTCATGTGCTCACGTAGAGTGAACTTACGCTGGAAGCGGCCATTGCACGAAGGCACAGGGCATTGAAACGGGCGCTCACGCTCCTGCGTGGGGGCTGGCGCAGCCACGGGAGCGGCGGTGGGGGCGGGGACGGTGGTCTTGATGTGGTCCATGATAACGAGGATAGCTATTTCAACTGCTTTTGCTAGTGCAGACGGTCACGGACGCTTTGGTCGCTGTGAGGTGGAAGGCAAGTTTGGAAGTGAGCTCACCAGAGCCTCTGGCAGAGGCGCTTTTGGCTTGCCCTGCCCTCCCCGCTGGCCGGTCCATTGACAGGCCTGTTACTGCGCCGTTGCTGTTGGTCCGCTGTGAGTTGCTGCCAGCAGCAGGTTGGCCAGTCCCTGCGCCACGCCACGGCTTGAATGGTCTAGGCGGGATTCCAGGCTGTAAGCGGGTCGCTGTGCAGAGACACCCGAGTTCGTGGCGTTGTTGACCAAGTCGCAGCGAAGGCAAAAATGTTCAAGGTATTCAAAGGGTAAAATGATGGCGAATCTCGCAGTCCACCGAGACACCAACTGGGGAAGAGCCAAGGCTAGTGCAGAGCAGCGTCCCCCTCCGTTCGCAAAAGCCATGTGGGACGCGCGCGCGCCGGCCTGCAGCAAAAGGGAAGACAGGGTCAACACCATCTTAGTGGAAACCGTGGCTCGTTGACTTATTGATTGGAAGATCAGCTCTTCTCCCTGGTAAATATGGTAAATATGCCAAGTGTCGGACACGTGTATCCGTAGACTGTAGCAAAATGCACGCCCACCGACCAAACCGTATAACCCCCAAAGGTGGGAGACCCTGCAGTTGCCATTATGGTCTCCGAACAGATACTAGTACAGCCATACATCCAGCCCGCAAACGCGAGCTGTCCCACGCATGGGTGTCATTACCTACGCCGATCGAAGGACCCGATTCGACCTTGGTCGGGCCGAAGTGCACAATACACGAAGGTGGCTACACGTCGAACAGATGACGTTCCTAGAGCGTCGCGACGAACTCACGCGTCTATCCAAACTTCGCCACGCCCCAAAGGGTTAATTTAAACGGTTCATTCGGCGTCGTCCCTTAAATAAGACATGTTTCGAAGGATCGTATCCGTTGGATACGATCCTTCAGATAGCTACTGTACTTAGCCTTACCTGGTACAGTACCTACAATGTTGGCACCATGTATTCGCTTGCGACGGCGACGCTGGGCGTCTCGGCATGCGCTATCGGTACGTCCGTTCGTGCAGACGACACTGCTTCCAGAATCAATCGGCGAGTCTTCAGTTGGACCGGCGACTGGAGCGCCCTTCCATTCGAAGGAAGCCGAAATCAAAGCAAACATTGTCCCACCGGCGGTGATTACTTGCGGAAAGCACACACCCGTCGCAAACGTGCAGCGCAATTTAATCGGCATCTGTTTCCCAAGTACTGTAAGTACATGTACAACAACTTGTTGTCGCTTCTTCTTGTTGTCAACAAGAAGAAGCGACTTGGTGACCAAGAGGACTTGACGGCGCGCCTAATGGATTTTAGGTACGTGAACCGGTACAATCACCGTACAGTGCGTGACATGTATCAAAAGTATCCGCTACGCTCGACGAGTCGAAGTCGCGACACTCCATTCCGAACGTTTATTTTGGATATCTTCCACGTCGGCACGGACACCTGTCGACCAACTGCAATCTGAAAGCACAACATGTATTACATGTAAAGGACATCCCAGTTGATTTTGACCTTGTCCGCCGTTCCTGTTGATCCCCACAAAGGTGGTGCTCTCAACCTTTTTTAGGCCAGGCACAGCTGGAAACGTGATGTGTTTTCCAAGTTGAGTGTTCTCTGCAGCCAAAAGCTACATTTATTAATAGGTGTTGCAGTCGAACACCACATGGGCGTCATTTAAACACTGCCCTATTGCTGCTTAGCAGAGGGGGAGGGGGCGCTTTCTTGGCTAGCACGCGCTGCCAAAGGATCCCCTTGCAAATCGAAGTGCAACAACACTGATTGCCTCCAAAATTTTGGTACAAAAGGTATTGAATTAACTTCACAGCGATTACGTCCCGCAGCGCTGCCGTCTGATCAAAGCGGCAGGTCAAATCGCCGGCTGTGTGCCACTGCCGCTACGTTGCATGGACTTGATCCTTTTGGCCTTTTGGGGTCGTGAGATTTTTTGTGTTGCAAGAGCGATTTGCTACAACCGAGCGAAAGCTGGATTACGGGCGAAAGGATCCAACGTCGTTTAACCTTCAACTTGCATGATCCTTCTGACCTTCGTGTTCGGAGAAACTCTTTTTCGGGGAGCGGGGGTGCCCGTCCTGCAGCAATACATGTACGGGCACCAGCAAGGCCTGCTAGAGTTTGCTTTGCTCATTCAACGGTTTTGCAAGGTGCAAGGCACATCTTTTGGTACCTCGGATGCTCGAGCATGCTATAGAAGATATACATGTTATAGATCTGCTCAAGCTCGAACGGTGAGATTTTGGCCTACATGTAGCGTGTACACGACTTAAAGCGAGGTCATTTCGTCGAGCAAAGCTCCATGCGAAGAATTGAAAATGAATTGATAAAACTGCGTGTTCGTTGCAAAGCAAGCGTGGCGTGCACGCTTTGCTATTGAGTGATTGAACACGAAATCATTAAAAAAAATGGATCATGGAAACCTCGCCACTAGTTGTGGTCGTAGGGATTGATAGTTTACGAATATTGGTTGCAACAACAACCCCTTCGATGCAGCTTACTCTCTACAAAAGTCTAAAATTCGTACGTGGCCGAAAGGTACGGCGGCTGGGACTGTTGCTGAGGGGGTCTACTGTCACGCGGGGGCTCCAGTCGCGGTAGTCTGTCCCTGATAATGGCGACGTTGTGGTATCCGTTTGCCTGCGCAGCAGCAGCGGCCTGGGCGTTTTCCACAAACAAGCAGTCAAACAGATCCTGCACGTCCGACTCTAGAATTCGCTGTTGCGGAGGGTGATGTTGTTCAGCAGGCGCCTGAGGAGGCCAGAGCAATCCACGCATTGGGAGCGACCCGGTCGGGGGAGGGGCTCGGCCGGGGAATTCAAATTTGGGACGAGGGAGCGTCGGAATAGGTCCGGACAATATGGGAAGCGCTTCCTGGCGGGTTGAAGGGCCAGCACGGTGCTGCGTACGCCGATGTCGGGTCAAGTTACCAGCGGTGCTGAAGGTCTTCCCGCAACCAGCAAAGTCGCACGTGTGCGGGGTGCGTGCGAGGTGGACCTTCAGATGAGGCACGAGCTTCTCGCGGCTCGTGAAGACCCGCGTGCAGTGCGCTGCCGGGCAACTGATTTTACGCATCGCATGGAGCTTTCGGTGGCGGGCCAGGTTCCCAGACGTGCTAAATCGCTTGCCGCATTCGGCCACCGGGCATTGGTGGGGCTGCTCGCCCGTGTGTGTCTTGAGGTGCTCGTGAAGCGTGAACTTGCGGTGGAAACGTCCACCACAACCTGGAACCGGACAGGCGAACGGTCGGTCCTCCGACGGAGCCGCACGGCGTGACGTGCCGGTTCGGCGGGGCGCGGCACTTGCATTCGCATTGGCATTGGCATTGACGTTGACGTTGACGTTGGCACCAGGGGCGAGATTGGCAATGGCACCACTCGGGAGATTGGCATGCGTGTTCGGATCTTGCTGCTGGTGCTGCATGACGGTGCTGCGCTGCAGGTAGAACGGGGGGTCCCGCGAGTTGTCACTCAACATGGCTTGCATATGTGGTAGCGGTGGTGGTAGGGCTGGGCAAAGGGGTCTGGAGGAAGCGGACACGTAACGCAGTTCGCGCTGATTGAACAGTGGCTCTCCTCGCCTCAAACTGGTACGTTCGAGAATACAACGGAGGCTGGGGTGGTGGTTGCTGCCGCGCCTCTGCGTCTGGTTTGGTTTGTTTGCGGGGCATCAAAGGACTCGTCCAGACCATTCCTGGCGGGGAATAGGGGGTTCGCGCCGGCGCTGAATTCGCCTTGGATAGGACACATCATATGCTTGCGTGATTATGGCTTTGCAGGCTGTTTGTCATTGCTGCTGCCAGCGTCCAGAGCTCAGGTTTTGGGCTCTGGATCAGAGTCTGATGGACGGACACCATGCAAATCTGCCACGCTCGACTGCAGCCATCCGACGTAGACACTGGCGCTGGACACTGCCATTTATGCGATGCCTGACGCTGCCTATTAATAGTTGTTTTCCCATGCAAGAAGGACAGCCGGGAACCGTGGATAGGCGACCGGCTACTTTTATCTTGGGGATTTGCAGGCACCTGACGGGCTGGCACTGTCCCGTCGTCGGACAAGCCCGGACGCCGCGCCCGGGCGGGCTTCTTTGCTGAACCATGGTGATTCTCTTTGTTGGCAAGACAAAACTGCAGACGATGGTGGTCTTCGTAGTTCTAATGAACAATGACTTTTATGTTGTGGTCGCGGTTAGCTTGACTTGACCTGATGCTGTACCGTGTGTCAATTATTCACCATCGCGACGGCGAGCAATTCCTGCAAGCTCTTGATCACAACGGGTGTTGTTGACGATATAAGAATCATTCATTCGCGGTCACAGCAACGGACCGGGGCAACGCGCTTTGCTGCCGTCCAAGTCCGATCTTCAGTTGTCAATCCACTCAAAGCGTTTCAGCGTCCAAGATACCACAGAAAATTATTTGACTTCATCTCGTGACGTCTTGACATTGTCAAGTTCACGTTACTGCCGAATCAGTGCTGATTTACTTACGGTATGCCAATGTCTTCTGCGACGAAGGGCGCTGCGTGTACAGCCTGTACAGTACACCAAGGACGCGGTGGTGCCGTCCAGGTGCCTCTTTCGAGAGTGGCAACGCATCAAGACGGTTGGGTGCGTGGTCAATCAACGGCCAAAGTGATACGTACATTAAGAAGGTGGCCAGTCAACCGTTCGGCCATAATAACTTCATCAACACAACTACGCTCATCATAGACCTCACTGGTGGAAGGCTCCACGGAGGAATGGCTCGCTACGGATGATGCCGCCTACGTTGTTGACGAGCGTACCCGCGTGGTTCTCGACAAAGAGGCAATCAAGCAGGTCCCGCACGTCTTGATCGGAGATGCGGTTGTAGGAAGGTCTCGGAGCCACTGCTTCTTGGGGTGGCACAGCGGACCACACTGGGGTTTTCACGAGCATGGCACCAGGGACGACCGGGTACTGCACCATTCGGGTGGGCAGCCCTTGCGCGATGAAGTGACGCTGCGGCTGCTCGGGGAATGAAAAGCTCTTCAGCATGGGTGGTCCGGCCGTCCGATTGGTCGGTGGGGCGTTGTGCCGCGTTCGTCGGTGCCGTGTCAGGTTTCCAGCCGTGCTGAAGGTCTTGCCGCAGCCTTCGATGTGGCAGGTATGCGGCGTGCCGGCGAGGTGGACCTTGATGTGTCTCATGAGCTTTTCACGACTTGTGAATTCCCGGGAGCAGTACGGTGTCGGACAGTTGAGTTTCTGGACGGAGTGCAGTTTCCGGTGCCGCGCCAGGTTGCCGGAGGTGCTGAATCGCTTGCCGCAGCCTTCAACAGGGCGATGGTGGGGTTGCTCTCCAGTGTGTGTCTTCATGTGCTCGTGTAGCGTGAACTTGCGGTGGAATCGACCGCCGCAGGTCGGGATCGGGCATGCGAACGGCCGATCTTGCGACGGCGGAGCGCGCCGTGACTCAGTCGCCTTTGTCGGCCGGCTCGGCAGGAGATTGCCACCGCTGTTGGGAAGCAGCTTCTTGTTGTTGAGCATGGCTTGCATCGCTGTGTTCAGTGTACAGTGTGCTTCGTGGATGCCGGGCAATTTGAGTTGTAGGCGAGCCAGCGGACAGGGCAACGGCCACCAAAGTGCAAAATGCAGCCTCGTGCAGAGACCGGAGGGTGGATCTCCTCACGGAAGCGAACTCAGGATGGGAAAGCGGCTTCAGCAAAAAACCATGTAGCCCGTGTGTAACTGCATAAGTAGATCTCGAGACGGTCTCAACGAAGCTCTAACTTGCCACTGGACAACATGCAAACACAGCGCAACGTCGTAGACCTCCTTGTTGAGATACCATTGCTAAATTCGATAGAGTGTGCACAGCGGGCTTGTACTCAAAGCAGGATGCTTGGCCCTTTTTCGTTTTCGAGTCACTGCGCGAAGCAGCTAAGCAAACAACTGTATTGTCACCGCTACACTGTATTTAATATCACCCTCGTCGCCCCGTCCACTGCTTCAACACGAACCAATGATGACACTCGTGGCTCGAAATTCAAGGGAAATCTGGTTTTAAAAGAGCTGGAGCTTTGTGGAAGACATGCAGTTGGTACAGTATCTGGTCCCTCAGTCTCGAAACCTGGCGTTGGGTGGATCGCAGTGCAGAGCATCTTCAATCGTTTGGTGGCGCCCTGCACACTCTCCTCTGCGAAACTCGCCATCGCATCAGTCGAAATGAACTTTCATCATCAATAGGGGGTTTCAAAGTTGTCATTAATTAGGATTTTTTTTACGATGGTGAAGGCTCGTCATTTACTCGAAGCAAAGAAGTCACGGCCACGTCGAGTTGGCTACGAAAAGGAGCACAGACCTGGCGGCATTGAGACGCATCGGGTGTTGACCTGAGCATAAATGGTCGGGAGCCGGAGATCGCAACGAGTTCTCGCGGTCCCTTAAGCTCCGCTTGAACTCCCGCGCGCGCGTTGATACAGCGGTTGGACGGCATTTCGGACAACAGTGCAGAATCTTACATGTAAAACGTCGACGTCGCGTACGCTGACACGAAGAAGCAGTTTGCCGAGAAACTGTGCTGCACACTACAGCACACTGTACATGAAGACTACATGATGTACATGTAGTACAGTACATGTATGTACATGAACTCTACTGTACAAGATTCTTTTGTTCACGTTACCGCTGGCTTGTAATCTGCGTACATGTACGAACGGCGCCCCCGGGCCCCCGGGCCGGGGGCGGGGGGGGGGGGGTACAGTTGGACAAGGTTTAAGCGTGAGGTTACATGTACACCTTCAGTGTACTGTACTGTTCTTCGAAAGACCTATATCGTGCAGGCATGTATTTTGAAAGTACATGTATTTGTACATTCATGTAAAAAAAAACAAGTGTACTGAGCGAGAAAGCGTTGTCGAAGATCGCTTTCGGTGTTGCATGCAAATCTCTTGAGTAAAACGGCAGGCTCAAGTCTGAGGTCTCTGCCAAATTGCCAGTCGCGCGTAGAAGTTCCGACAGGAAAATGTCATGTCGATCACCTCGAAGCGACCGTGCATCGCCAGTGCCTTCAGTCGTGCATCGACCGAGAAAAAAGAGGAGAGTTCATTATCTTCTCGGCACAATCCCATCTCTCCAATTCTTCGTGCTCCGGGCCGGAGGAGCCTCCGGCTACAGTCCCACCGGAATTGCATCTCCAAGAGTTGCGGATGTGAACACGGCGTCACGGTGGCTGGCAAATCCAAGCGTTCGTTCAACAAAGCAGCAAGACTGCAACACCGTTAAGAGTTTGCCACTTTCCCGACGTCGTCCATCGAGTCGGCGCCAGTGGTCTGAATATGCTTGGCGTGCTCCATCTTCAGTGTCTGCTCGCGCAATCGAGCGCTATTACGTTTGGCCTGCGTCACCTTGTACAAGACGGTGATGAAGGTGGCCACACAGACCACTCCAGCGATCAAAAGAGCAACGAGGATCGGGGGACCATACAGGTTGTCGCCGTCTTCGTTGCTAGCGGTTTCCGTGCATCGCGGTCCTGTCCACGAGTCCGAAGAGCATTCGCAACGGCCGTCGGAGTTGCACGTACCCGTCGTCACAGCTGAGGATCCGCTAGTCGAGATAGTACAGTCGTCGTCCGACTTGCAGAGCGCCATCCCCGATACCTCCACGACCAGGTTGTCGTCGTCCTGGTAGTCGTCGATGTGGTCCTCAATCCACCGCTTGGTCGGGTGGGAGGACGGGTCGCATCCGTACGCCATCGAAGAGCCTGCAGACACGTCCTGGTACACGCGAATGTAGTCGATTTTCATGAACATCGGAAACGCGTTGCAGATAGCGTTCGTGTTATTGTCCGTGCCGTCGCCGTAGCAGCCGCTCGAGCTTGCGTTCGGCGGTTTGGAGCCCCAGGAACTGGACAACGCAACGTTGAAGATGAAGTACATGGGCTCCTCAACCATCAACTTCTTCGGGTTCATCTGCGTCGTGTCCTGAGGCGGATGGGTGATCGATTCCGACGGGATCTCAAAGATAACCTGTCCTTCCACCTCCCACCGAATGTAACCCGAGGCGCCTGTAACCCACTCCAAAGAGTACGTCACCCAGTCCAGATACGCCGCCATGTGCACTTCCCAATTGGAAGAAATCGCGTCCATTTGGTACGTGAATTCCGATCCAGAGCTCGTGAATCCGCCCGATTCAGTACATTTCGAGCCCGTGTTACCAGCGTTGCACAGATAGGCACCCATGTAGGCGTTCTGCTTGGGGAAGCACGTGCCGTTGCTGTTGACTCCCCAGTGGACTGAGCCGTTGTCTTTGAGTCGTTCACGTCGTACGACGCTGGACACAAATCCATCGTGCACGCGTTCTCCGTGATGCCCTTGGTCACCGACGCGTTGATAGTGGCGAAGCTCTGGACGTCTTCACTCTCTACGTCGCACAGGTTATTGGCGGCGTATCGAAGTCCCTGGTACCACGACTTGTGGCCACGTAGGTTCAAGTAGTATTTGGTCGGGACGTCCTGGTTGTTCGCTCCTTGGGTCGTACAGTCATAGCGGTAGAAACAATACGCCGACGAGTTGTCCGCGATCATGCGGAAGTCGTCGGGCATGCCCGGTCCCACCTGAATCGACGACGAGATAGCTGTGCCTCCTCCCTCGAGAATGTCAATCTCCGGCGCGCCACGACCTTGGTTCGGGTTCATCCCAGAGCCCGGGTCGTCGTCACAGGCGCTGATCCGTTGGTTCTGCGAGTCGAAGATAGTATCGTTGCACTCGTTGTATGAGAACGGCCACATTCGAGCCGTGGAGCCCGTGAAAATGGCGCGACCGAGGTTACCCATCAACCAGATACCGGGCCACGTCGGGTAGTAGTCGATACTAGTTGCACGGACGCTGGTAGACCCGGTTTCAATGTCCGGGTTACCGGAAGCGTTGGTGACGGCGCCGGGCAATTGGGCCCGGACCGTGACGAGGCCTCCTTGGAAACAGAATTTGTTCCACCCCTGCACCATAGCAGATCGATAGTAAAACGTGACGTCCTCGTAGCCAGGGGGCGAGATGTACTCGTTCCAGACTGTGAGGTTCGTCTCGTGGATGTCCGATTCAATGTAAAAGTAGCAGTGACCGTCGTCGTCACACGCTGTTCCTGTCATATTCGGGTAGTAGATTTCCAGAGCTGCGTTCACACCGTCGGGCTTGTCGACAGCCGTCCAGAGATGGTCCTCGCCGGCGTCGAAGCTGCGTCCTTCCTTGTTGAACTCGTCGCTCATGATGAGCGTCCACGTCTCGCCGCGCGACGACTGGTGTGTCTTCGCCTTGCTGGGCGTATCCACGTCCACCCATGGAAGAACGCCCGATTTGGTCTCGTACGACTTGGTGGTGGTGGACGCATAGACAGCAGACGCCACGACCGACAAGACCGTAACGGCGCGTGACATGGCTGAGTGGGTGTATAGTGCCTAATACCTAAATGTAAGTGGACTATCTGCCTGAGGGGGGCCTGCGCTCGCCTGGAGAAACCTAAACTGGCTGAGGATTCCTAGTGAGGAATGGAGACTGCTGCACCATCTCAAGAAGCAAGGAGCTGGCCCCTTACAATTGCGAGGATAAAATGCATAGTCCAGGCGAGAGCGGAAAATCTGGTGGCGCAAAAACCATGTCACACGCACCGAAGCCATGCGGATGCCAAATGCATCGTGTGTGAGGTGAACACTGTTCACTGAACAGTATGGTGGCGTCCACTCAGTGGCACTACTACATGTTGTGGGGGGGCGTTGTGTAGACTGCAAATGGAGGGCAAGTCTATCAAAAAATACCATCCTTTTTTTACTTTTTTCTCTGTAAACTATTTTTTTCAATATCTGCTGAATAACATCTGGGGTCACAACTTCAGTTCACTTTTTTTGGGGTTATAATGAGACAGGCGGAATCAAAGTTCACAAGAAAACAGATTAGAAGGGAAGATCTAAAATTTCTACCACAAAAGATCCTCAAGTCAAGCCATTTCAGCTGCGTGGGTACATGCACTTGGCCTCGCAAAATGACCAAGCCGACTGCCGTTAGCCACGGCCTCCGAGATCATAGGAATCGCATCGGACACTCTTTGCCAAAGTTGTTAGCAAAACTGCTTGAGAAGATCGCAATACGGCATACAGTATCGTCAAAGGCAGAAGAAAACGCCGCCCTTGACGCATACTACATACTAGGTTGGTGCCGTAGTTTTCTCTCCTGTTGCTCTTGGCAGTGCTGAGTCAGCACTGCTGACTTCGCTGATTGATATTAGCGCAGATGTACCCTTCTCGGCCTTGTTCATGATCGACACTTAACATTGACCTCATCGATGCATGCTGTCGGTTTCGGTTGTATTCGCCTTGGGGACAAAACGGTTCTTCTCTCGCTTGCGGTTGAAGATGGCGGTAAATTATTGACTGTGATCCCAACCACCGCCGAAATGACCAGAACTGAAAGATTCAAGGCCGGATCGATCAGCTCGTCATCGGTGCTGCTTCGGGGATCTGTCTGGGAATCGGTGCAGCGGCAGTTCGAGTTGCATGTTCCAGTCAAACCACCGTTGAGTTATCAACGCTGCAGTCGTCGATACGGTCTTCGATCCATTAGCTTTGTTGACTGAGACGAATGATCGCAAACCGATCGGCATAGCTGTGTTTTCAGACATATTCCGGTATCCATCGAGAGTGAGTCGCAAATGACATTGCTGGTTGAGCTCGAGTCATCACTTCGACAGCTTCCTGAGCCGGCGTTGGGAGGAACCCCAGGAGGTAGCGAGAGAGAGCGACAGTGACAATATTGGCTCCTCAAGTTGAAGGTCATGGTTGAGCCTCAACCATGACCTTCATCAGGCTCATCTGCGCTGTGACCTGAGGTGGCATGATTAAAGCCTCTGCTTCGAATGTATTCGAAGTCACCAATGTCCTGTGCGTGACCCAATCCAAGTACGACGCCACCTGCGCTTCCCAATTCAACGATAATGCGTCTGTCTGGTATGTAAACTCAGACCCTACGCTCGTTGGGGTCACTGGGGAAGCGATCGAGCTGATATCCGTACCGTTACTATTGAACCTGAAGTCCCCGTTCACAAGTCATCGTACGCGTTTTTACCGCAATCACTTTATCCCAGGACGCTTGATCGTCGCGTAGTTCTGAAGAAGTGAACACGCTTTTTAAAACTTTGTTTAATAATAAAAACCAACCTTGTTATTGGCTAATATGCTGACGCATTTTACTGGCTAAAACAGTGTAGTTTATTTGTTTGCCCACAGTTTGCAACATGGTGGGGCCTACGTGCAAGCAATGCGAGGCCAATATTGACCTGCTTCTGCTAAGCCCGCAGCAGTCCACGACGGACCCACGGGCTCTCTGCACCTGCTGCGGGGAGCTGCAATACGGATATGCGTTCCGTTCAATCAGCGGGCGCGACATTACGCGACGCTGTATTGCCTGCGAGAACGGACCAAAAGTGACTGAGTTCTGGAGAGAAAAGGCCCCACCACCGGATCCAGCGGAGGTGTGCCGCCAGGATAGTCTGGAAAAGATTAAAAAGAACAAGAAGAAGAAGAGCAGCCGCCCTCGCAAGTTGACCGCTCGAAACGCCAAGTACATCGAGCAAAAGAAGCAGCAAAAGCACAAGTAATTTGGAAATATACCTTTGTAGGCCCCCGCTACCCTACCCATTTATTTACTTTGTATTTTGTAATTGACGGATATCGTGAGGCTTAGTGTCACGCGTATAGTAAAATGATCATGGCGCTGCTAGTAGCTTTGCACTCAGTACTGACACAAAGCTACATTCCACGGGAAAAACACCAGTGTACCGCTTTGGTGTTTGATCTCTACAGTCGATCGCTCAGCCTTGAGCCTACCACCTTACTCATTTGTGACAGAGTTCGTGGAGACTCTGGTGGTAAAATAACCCCGTCTCATCCGTATTATAGATGTCTTTGAGGGCGTACAAGTCGGTCATTTTGCGCATTTCAGCGCGTCAACCTGTAGCAGCGCTCACAGTAACGGATCCAGCTTCTACTTGCTTACAGCGGCATCGAATTTCATGGCGCTTTCTAAAGAGATATCCCCAGCTCTTCGATAAACCAGGCCTCTTTTGCTGCGGAAGGTGTTTTAAGTGCTCGTCCACGAAGCGCCTGGCACGGTACATTAGACTGTAGTCGGTCAGCTACTTGATAGCTACCGCCACCTTGTCGAGCTCCGCAGTAAGCGCGCGGTCGAGTGCATCTACTACAGGATTGACCGTCGTTTTGTATTAATAGGTATCCTTGAGCAGGCTTCGCAGTGCGGCTTCTTGCCAAAGGATGTTGTAGATAACTCACTGTGACGGAGGGTGCGGAAGATCAAAAGCTGGTGTAGTCCATAGTGCTAAGTCCTCAATTTATTTCTTTTTATAATTTGGCCTCTCGATAGATCTCAATCTTCTGTCCGTGTGTCAGACGCACATACTCGTTTAATTTCGTGGTATTGATCTTGGGCTGCGAAGGCATCGGGCGTTAAAGGAAATGGAGACCTGCCATGTGGGTCGAGCGCTGCACTGCAATATATAATGTCTCTCACAGCCTTTCTTACTTCCATCTAGCAGCGATTTCGTGTACACGGTCTTTCTGTCGACGTCACTTCCCTGCAATAATCACCTGATTCTGCACAAACATGATCATGCACGCACCATCCACTTAGGATTTGGACAATGCCTGCAGGATGTAAGAGCGGACGTAGGTGCGGATTTGGCGGGGAGACCTGTATAGTATTTGAGCGAGCACTTATCCGAGATTACGCGTGACGAATTCCTTGAACTATACATCGATACGAGCACGTGTGCCGTAATGCAGACCATTCAGGTGGGCGCTTTAGGTCGATGTATATGTACGTTTAATGAAACCATACGCAATACTGCACTTACATGTCCTATCCGGAATGATAGATAAATGAGCGTGGTCTAGTCACCCATGGCTATAAGGATACCCGTCCTACGCTTAGCTATCGTGCTGACTACTGCTTACAAACTCCTGGTCAGCTTGCCTGTGCCCCACTACGGTGAGGTCTGTGCCTACTTATTAAGCGCTTGGCTGTGTAGTCGGCAAGCCAGCCCGACGATGCAAAAATACTGAGGAAGCGACTGTGACCCCATGCAAAGATTTAGGTTATCGCGAGAGCGTGGCGTCTATCCCAGTGAGGCCCTTACGAGACGAACTATGCGTGGACATATCCAATAGCACGCCGAGCTAATAAGTAGCAGGGGAAGGACTACACGTAATGTGCTCGGGCTGCTATTCTTTTAGTATCTAAGCATCGCTACTATCTGACAGATTACCTACAGCTGCGTGGTTTTGTACATACCTCATACGTAGCTGAACCAGCTAGCGTCACTCGGAACGTTAGTAGCTATGCAACCATGTCGGTCGGTACGTCAAGTATTCAAGTAAGTCAGTCAGTAAGTCAATGACGGGAAGCTTATCATACCAGGGCTAAAAGGCGGGGCTATTTTTAATGATAATCTGATAATTAAGCCGAGGCACCGAACATCAAACACTTACCCTAAGACACGGATATGAAGAAGAACTCGGCGGAGCCGTTGGTAGACAAGGTATTGGTGTTTGTGATGATCACCGGCAATTAGTTGCGGTCCTAAACGATACTACGCAGGCGGAGATAATACTATAACAGATCGTCGCAACAAACGAAATGGTAGCAAAACGCCTCACGACAATACGAAGTAGTACTACCTATATTTTAATTCGCCCGATGGCGTGGCGGAGCCAACATGTTTGAGTAGGCTCGCTTAGCTTATCTGGAATTTCTCCTCAAATTCTGCTGAACGAAGTGTCACAATAATACCAAACTGACATGTCTTGAGGGAGCGCGTCCTCGTCGGGGGAGTCGTGCAAGGTTCGTGTCAAGAGTGACACCAAGTGCAATGATGGATGACAGTCAAAGTAAGGAGCAGCATTAGTGATGAAGAGTGTGGATTGACACTTCAGGGAGGAGGGGTGTCACCTCTCGGGTAGCTCTCGGTACAACAAGACGGGGTGTCATGCTTAGGAGCGCGTCGGACCTCGAACGCGTTTCGCTTTAGTTGGCCGGGTTCGCATTAATATTTGCGGAGTAGGGGACACTAACTACTTTTTACAAGCGTCGCTTCTACATTTTTAAAATCTCCACCGCGCGTGAGTCCTCGGCCGACGGCCTCGCATCGGAAATATTCAACTTCCTCCTTCTTTCTTTCGGCGTGAAGATACTACGATCTGAGGTGATACGCGCTGCGGCAGGCGGTTCAAAATTGGCAACGTTCTGAGACGACCCTGTTCATCTCTGTCTCGTGATAGGAGCATAAATGAAACAGCCCATCTTCTGAACAAAAGCAATTTCACATTGATTTTCCATCGTGTCCACTTTACTATGACGATCGACAACATCCATCGGCGCTCAATCTGCCACGCGGGTTTCTAGTTGAAACAGCCGGTTGTCACACATACACAGCTCAATATGGTGCTGTCAAGTGTGCCATCGAGGGAAGCGATTAAGATTGCTGAAGGTCGAGAGGTGGTGGGTGAGGCCGAAAATGTGAGCACTAAGAATACTAGCGGTATTGTGTTACTGACTAAAGTCTGACTTCAACACTAAGAATATTGTGTACATAGTCTTTCGAAACACGTATTTGGTAGGACATGGTATTCAGACATTTGTACAGTAGCTTTGTTTTGAGTAAGAATTTTCGCAGCGCAGCGGAGACAGCGAGCCCTCACTTCGCCGACCAACCATGCTTTAGCCAGGCGCCTCGAGCGCTTGTGTCCGATGTATCAGAGAAACGACTGTTACCGTCTGTAGACCAGGACACATCAAGCAGCACAGATATGTCGATCGGTTGCGATCCTACTTCTCGCCCGACCAAACTTTGGATCAAGAGCAATATTCGATGAGTTCATAGACACTGATAGCCAATTAGATAGTGTGTTCTGGAAGAACTCAGATGACGACTGCACAGTGGACACCTCGTCAGTCATCACTGGCACATGCAACTCGAACGATGGCTGCGAATGTGCCTCCGACTCCTCGATGTACGGAGGTGACTAGCGTTAGCAACGACGACACTTTTTTCAGCCCGCCGTTTTTTTGTCTCGATTATTGTTGCCGCTGTCGTCACCGGCGTCGGAGTGTGCGTCATTTTGTACCTGCGCTCGCAGGTAAGACATATGAGTCTTAAGATTTGTTCGAGAAGAAGCTATACAACGCCCTATCCAAGATCTCCAATATCAGCGCCAAACTCGTAGAACTCCTCAGCAACGCGAGTAGCAACAAGTCAGACTACACCGCCATCTTCGTTTAGGCTTAGTAGTATTGTGCGTTCTACTCAAATTTTTCGTGCGCGGCTCTTTGATTGAACGTGTGCGCAATAGCCCAAAGTTGTTACAGACTTGGTTTGAGTTAACATTTCACTTAAGTGCGATATAGGCCGTTGGTAAATAATAGAAATTCTGTTTGCGAGCGACTCATTGAATAGAAGGTCGGAATTCACAATATTGTGAGTTTCATTTGAATTTGTGAGAATGGCCTGAATCGAATCGCTATAGCGAAGGATTTCAAATCGATTCAGTCGATATTTAACCAATCAGAAGTCACTAATTGAGCTTCTCGGCCACACATAACGCAGACAGCACGATGGCAAGCATTCAGCAGGCGATCAATGGGCGACAAACACCATCATGCACGCCGTCTACTGCTACTTCTACCTGGGCTTGTCGAAGGGGCGGTTGGCGACGATCTACAACAAGAAAATTAATACCATCTCGAGCTGGATTCAACGCTTCGAGCCCGACAGCGACTACCAGCGACGCTCTACAAATCAGAATGGCCAGCTCACTACTTTGCAGCGACAGTGGCTGCTGGACTTCTACACGAGGCAACCGGTTGCGTTTCTCGATGAAGCAAAGGCTGCGTTTGAGCGCAAATCCACACGCTTCATTTCGATCTCAACGGTGTGGAGGACACTGTGGCAGCATGGGCTTACATTGAAGGCTTTAGAACGGCGAGCGATGAACATTAAGACCAGCGATTTAATACGCTTCACGTTGGAGCTGAGCTTATATAAGTGGTGCCAAAGGGACATCTAGTTCCTTGATGAATTTAGCTTCGACGACAGGGGCATGCTGCGCTCGCGTGGCTACTGCTTGAAGGGAAAGAAGCTTGTCTTTCGTGGCGAGTTCAATCGAAAGGCACGGGTTTCGCTGCTTTGTTTCATCTCTGTGGATGGCCTCGTCGAAACTTTTCACGCGGATGGGACGTTGGACCGTTCCAAGCTCGTTTAGTGCTGCCGTGCACATGCGCATTCAGGAAAGACTGTGCGCCAGTACCCCGGAAGCGGCTCTGTGGGGATCCTGGACGGTGCCCAGATTCATTGCCACCCTAATATCGTCTACTACCTGCTGTCACGGGGGATTATACCCATCTTTCTTCCGGTATATTGTCTATTTTACAAACCCATTGAATACCTTTTTTGTCTGATCAAAAAGGCGTTCAAGCGGCTGTTCGTCGAGAGATCCTAGCAAATCCAGCCGTACTTATTGCGAATGTGCTCCAGCAGCTCCAAGATTTCGACATGACCAAGATTTTCGAGCACGGTGGGTGTAGTATAACTGGTGAGTTTGACTCTACATATACCCTGAGGGGTGAGTACGTGAGCACATCGCAAGCTGAGCGATTCGTCAAGAACGAATTGCTCGAGGTTTTGGAACGTGGTGATCCTGATTATGACGACGAGTGTTCGAGTGATGAAGGGTGATTTAATGTGGTAGCGTATCGTTTGAGCTTCTTACGGATAATGTATCAGTTATGTTAGTTGTGGTCGACGCCCCCTTGATTCGGAATGTCGGCCAATGCGGCTGTGGACTTTGTACTATCTGGTTGTATCACCACATCCTAACCCAATGCCTCGATCACTCTAAATGATTCTCCAGTATTTGGTTCATGGACACGATTAGTTTGAAGTACTTGGGCGGTCTGCTTAAAGTGGTTGTTCTTTGCCTGTATGCCTTGCACGACCTTCTTTGCCATATTTACGCTGCGCTGCACACGCTGTAAGTGTTGGTCACCTGTGTTCGACGCAGGCCTGAGCTGAGTTACCAGATTTGGAGGTAGGCCCTTCGCAATTTCTCGCTCGTGTTGAGGCCTTAGTTTTTTTAGAGCGAGGAAGCCCACAGACGCCACGACATGTCTTGAGCTGTGAATGTACGACCCCATTTCTCCGTCAGTCAAGTGATCATGAGCTGGTGGAGCTCTTCTGTCACAGGAGTGGCGGCTAGACCAATGCACTGGTCTGCGAAGTCTGCGAGCTGGCCAACGCTATATATCTTGTTTTCGTACTTGTAAGCAAAGAGCAAGTCGGATTCGTGCTGGTTTTTCACCAAGTATCGGCGATCTTTCGAGCTTGTCCACAGATCCAGCATTTTTGTGTTCATCCTCATAGAAGTGTACTTTTCGAACATCTCAATTGCTGGGTCCTGTTCATCAACTGTCCAGGCTGGTGGAGCTCCAATCAGAGCGAATAATGGCTTTAACTCGCGGTAGATGACGTTCCAAAGCTTGGTCTTCACCTCATCTAATGTTTCGCCTTGAACTCTGTGTGTACCCATCCGTCCTGACGATGACAGAAGCTGGATGACCGTCTTCTTTAAGCGTACATCGACGAAGAGTTTGATCAACGGATCGTGCGAGGTAATTTCCCTCGCTGCTGTTCAAGACGTGGGCTTCGTCTTTGGCATGACGAGGAACGAGGACTGGGACCTCGCGCAGCATGGGCTTGGTTGGGCGTGCTATCATCGTGCGAAACGCGTCGAGGGGAGCTGCGCTGGGTTGGTGTTGCTAGGCTCATCGAGCTCCGGAGTGAAGCGCAGGCGGCGGCTTATGATTGGTTAAAAGCCTGCTGCAACCGATTCGGAAAACTCCGAGTAGGTTCTACAAATTTGGCTGAAAACAACAATTTATTTCTTTGTTATAAATCAAATTTTGCGTTGAAGTGAAATGTATCCATTACCCATCGTTCGTCATGTTTTCCATGTTGAACCTCTTGTATTTCATGTTGCCTTTCTCACATTGATGACCCCAGAATCAGTCATCTTGCCATTAGATCGTCATTATCTTGGCACCATGGCAACTCCAAACCGCTTTGTAGCGGGGCCATCTTTCTACAACTACGACATGTACGGTGGATTACGTTCCGGCGGCCTAGTGCGGTTCTTCTCGTCCGAGTTCGTGGGTCTCGTGGCCGCCACGTTCACGTCCGCGTTCGTCTACATCGGCGCTCGCTACGGTCTATTGCCCATGGTTAGCAGCAAGTTGCAGCTCAGCGAGGACCAGACCGAGGCCATGGATCGATTGGTGGAGGTACCCGCTGCCATGGCCTTCTTTGTGGGGCTCTATGCCGACGCAGTGCCGCTCTGGGGCTCGAGACGCAAGTCGTACATGGTGTTGGGCATGACGTTCAGTCTGCTGTGCTTGGCTCTGATTGGCCTTGGCTGTCTCTTCGCGGAGGACTTGGACAGCGCTATGGGCAGCAGCTTTAGCTACATCATGATGCTGCTGATGGGCGGCGTGAGCTTCGGCTCCATGATCAACTTCTGTTCGGTACACACAGCAGTCGTGACGCTCTCCCAACGCGAAAGTCTCGAGAGAAGAGGCGTGTTCCAGGCCGACTACTTGATCATGAGAGCCACAGGACAAATCTCGGCCCGACTGCTCGTGTATTTGATCCAGAATGTTGTGGAGAAACTCGAGATTTCGCTGATCTTGTTGGTCTTGATGCCGTTATCTGTGACGACGATTGTTATGGTCATAGGCGGCCTTGACGAGCCGCCAGCGTATCGGAAAGAAAGTTTGCGATGCAAGTGCGAAAGCTACTGGAAACTCACCAAGCAGAAGGCGGTGTGGAAGATCCTGGTGGTGATTGCGAGCTTCGCCTTCTTCCTCAACTTTGCCTTCCCAGTGGTGACGAATGCGCTAAGACAATGGACTGCCACGACGGATAGCGCATCAGCGCTACTCAGCAGCAGCGTGAACGACTTGGTCATGATACTGACCGTGTTGATCTGGCGATGGAGACTCCGTAACATGCTGTGGAAGAGGTTTTTCGCCTTAGCACCGGTACTGACCATCATTCCTCAAATTGTATTGGCCATTTTGGTTATCCCAGCGCTGTATCGAAGTTCAGCCGTCTATATTGTCCTGACTGGATTAGGTGGAGTGTCTTCGGGCATCATGGCGCTGGCTCTGCTAGTTCCAGTCACCGAGATCATCGAAGAAGGCTCGGAAGGGGGCGTCGTCGGCCTCGCGCTGTCGTTCAACACCATCTTCAAGGTCTTCGCTGGCACACTACTCACAACGATCCAGCGGGCATCGTACTTCCCGTCCAGCGACGAAGAAGACACGACGCATCGACGTTGGTCCATCGCTATCCTCGAACTCGTCACGTGCTGCATCAACAGTTTAGCCTTCGCCGTCATCCCCATCTTGCCGCTCCAGAAGCTGGACGCACAGCTCGTGCGCATGTACGGAGGCTTCACTGACCACGCCAGCGCTCTCATCGCCGCCGCCTTCCTCACGTCGCTCGCCTACTGCGTCGCGTACAACATCTACATCTTCAGCGTCGCCATCAACTGAGACAGTCCACGTCGAAGACGCTGAGGGCTGCACGAGACATGTATTGTCATCCAAACTTTGACTCCAAAGCTCGCCTAAAGTACATGTAGGCGTCATTGCCATGGACAATGGCTGCAAAATGATCACCGCAATTTCCAGCGTTCCGTAGACAAGTCCCAAGCAAATCCAGGTGGCGTATGCATTTCAAGTTTGCTAGTTGCAAGTGCCCATGTCGCAGTACCTCGTACAAATAGTATCTATCGTCGTCCATTTTCGTTTGATGTGGCAAATTCCCATTGTTTTTTTCTCTTCTTCCTATTTCCTGTTGAAACACTTGATAAACGATAAATCGCTTTGCTCGGGCGAAACTGATAAGCTATTCCGCCCTCGTTTTCGTCGTCGCATTTCAGTTCTCGCCATGAGTCAAAGTGACGAGTGCCAAGCAACCCAAACCTCCGTGTATCCAACCAAGCGCTGCGTGTCAGGAGGCCCCGTAGTCGAGCCCGACGCTGAGCCAGTGCTCAATCGCGTCATCCATCCGAGTACAAAGTTTGAGACTGCATGGACGTGGTCCGGATGCATCATCGGCTGCAGCTACCTGCTCCTTCTCGTAGTATGTGCCTTCCTGAACACCACTTTCGTGCTGTGGCCACTGACGCTGCTGCAATGGAGCCACCTCCTCTCAACGCGCAGCTGCCGATGGATATGTCGCTTTCTGGAGGATAAATACTTCGCTATGTTAAGTGGATATTTGGAACTAGTTGGCGGCGTCAAGATTATCATCACTGGAGACGAAGAGCTGCAGTTCGCACACCACGAGCACGTGCTCTTGATCTGCAATCATCGCAGTGAAGTCGACTGGATCTTCTTCTGGAATCTGGCGCTGCGTCTCAATGTTCATGACCGTATTCGAGTCATGATGAAGAGTGTCATTCGATACGCCCCTGGCGTCGGCTGGACCATGATGCTGCTGCGATACCCGTACGTTAACCGGAACTGGGCCACGGACCAGGACAGATTGACCAAGGTGATTGAGTCGTACAAGGACGTGGACATGGGCACGTGGCTAGCCATGTTTCCGGAAGGAACGGCGTTGTATGACAAGACGCTCAAGAAAAGCCACGAGTTTGCTAGCAAGCAAGGAGAAGCGAAATGGAACTACGTGTTGCAGCCCAGAGTCAAGGGCTTTGAGCTGTGTATGGACAAGATGGACCCGGACTATGTCGTGGACCTCACGGTGGCGTATCCGGAGCTCATGGAGGGCGTGAGACCGTCACCGGTATGTCGCTGCGAGCATAAAGAGTATTGGATGTCTGAGACTTGACGTTGTGTGTTGCTACTGTAGGTGCGATTTGTGAGAGGACAGTTCCCGACTGAAGTACACATGCACGTGCAGCGGTATCACCGGTCAACGCTGCTGAAGCACAAGGACCGCATGGGTCAATGGTGCGTCTTTTGAGTGGCAGATTGCGATGAAACTGTGTTGCTTTTCTGATGAGCTGCGCGTGTGAAACAACAGGCTGAAAGATCGATTTGCAGAAAAAGAGGAGCGTCTTGAACATTTCTACGAGACTGGCGCGTTTCAAGGCGAACAGTGCGTGCGTCAGGATCTCCCAGTTTGGAGCTCGGTATTACCAGGCATTGCCGTTAATTTGGGATTCTGCGGCGTAGCGCTTTATTGTCTTATCAACTTTCCTCTCGCTGCGTGTTCGTTTGCGATTAGTGCTGCGCTATCAATGATCCAAGCGCGCAACTTCGGCAACTAAAATGGCGTTTATAAAAATATATTTGCACGAATTATTTTTTATGGCTCCAGCGTAGTAAAGAGTTAAGGCGAGGGACCTTGGGGTACTGATGTGGTCCTCTTCGTTCCGGTTTTGCTCTGTCTTCACTGAAGACTCTTCAAAACTTGATCACGGCGAGGATTTCGCAACTTTTCGGAATTGCGTTCGGGCGTCTTGACGTCACCTCCACAGCGTAACCCCAGCTGAATACAGCGCTTCTGGACGTCCAATGGGGTTTTACCAGGCAGACGAGCGGCCAGCATGCGAGCCGTGTCGCTCTGTTGCCCGCGCAACAGATTCTCCTCTTCGTTGGTGAAAACTACCTCACTTACTTTTGGTCGAGAAGACGCCTGTCTGTATACCTGCGTGCTTTCCAGGTTGCTGGTGCGTCCATCCACTCGATGGATAGCCACAAGATTCACAACGAGAAGCACCAAGACAAACTTCATACTCGATCGGCAGATGAGTTGCGCCTCTTCACGTGAAGGCAATAACATTCCATTTTTGGCAACAAAACTGGCAACAGGCCGACCACAATTTAGAATGAACCTGTGTAATAGCCTGCAACTTCAACGTCCGATGGCTACCGTGTCATGAGCCTCACAGACAAAGGGGCAGAGAGATGGACCCCAAGCGCGTATACGGCACGAGCTGGACATAGATTCCATTCGTTGCCGGCTCCCTCCGTCATATATTCGAACAACAATGCTCAGTTCGCAACTTGTTCGGACAAGTCCCCACCGTTTCCGCATGCCGCATACCATGCGAACTTCGCAATTCGCCTTTTTCCGCGATGCAGGACGCGCGCTTCGGTGCGTCTGTCAACGATCACTTGACCAATTTACTCGGTTTCCGACCCATTGTACTTTACGACACTCGAGTTGACACGATCGACGAATCGTTGACGTTATCGCGGTCTAGGAAGGGGCAACAGCTCCCCAACTTTTCCACCCTTTCCAGCCAAGAGCTCGACGAAATCGACGCCGAATGCTCGTCATGTGTGTCTTCACACCACCACCAAGAGGCAAAGACCCCCACAGAGCAATATCTTCCACCTCGAGAGCGAGAATTCGCTGTAGGCGACGCGATGTTCAACTATCGAGCATTTGGCAGTTTACGCACTGGACTTGCTCCCATTGCTTTATTCAGTCGATGGCACGCCGGACTTGCTGCCACCGCCGTCATCTCAGGAGCGACACTCGCTGTTATGCGCGCTGCGTATCGTCTGCGCTTAATTGCGACGATGCATGATCGTTTCCAGGGGGATTACGATCAAGGAACAGCTCTACTGGATTGGGGCGACATGCTCTCGGTATTTCTCGGACTCTTTTCGGACTGCGTGCCGATATATGGCACTCGACGCAAAGCTTACATCGCTCTTGGATGGATTTTCAGTGCACTGAGTTACGGTAGCGTCTACGCGATTCACTTGCGCGAGATTCGCGACGTCAAGGAGCCTGACGCCATCTACGGACGTCTACTGGAGGCGTGGAGTATCATAGGCAGCTTCGCGCTCCAGTTGTCGTGGGTGGCAGCTTTGGCGTTGATCGTGGGATTCGGACAGCGAGAGGCGCTAAGTGAACGCGGTGGGCTGGCCACGTTGTTTCTGATACTCTGGCAGACGGGAGCGCTAGTCGCTCACTGCATCGTTGCTTTGTTCCAGTCGAGACTTACGCTGTCAAACACTAGCGCTGTCATCGCTGTGGCTTCTTTGGTTGTTCTGCCCTTCGTGGTATGTTTTCTACACGAAGACGACGACCAGGAGTCGGCAGCGACTGTGCTATCGACCAAGCGAGTTGGGGTTTTGCCAGCTTTGCGCACGGGAGTTCTTCAGCTGTGGGAGGTTTGCCAAGAGAAAGTGACGTATCGAGTGTTCTTGTTCTTGGTGGTATACACAGTGCTGCTCAACGCCTGCGACCCCGATGTGGACCGAGCTCTAGCCACTTGGAGTGGCTTTGAAGACGCAGATCCTTGGGTGTTGGTGATAATAAGCGGGGTCGGAGTTGCGGCTTTGATCCACGCGAAATGGAGACTGTTGACCACTGCGTGGCGATCCTTGGCCTTCGTTGGTGTCGGGGTCGTAGTCGTCGCTGCTACTGTTCGAGTTGCGATCATTACGACGGATACTGGGCGTGCTAAATGGTTCTTCTCGGTCTTTACGGGTCTCGTCATGTGGCCCAAGGTGTGGATTCTCCTGTTTACACTATTGACAGCAACGGAGATAGCGCATGTTGGCTGCGAGGGAGTCACTATGGGGCTTGTACTTTCAGGTCAAGGACTCGGCACTTCGGCAATGAATGCAGTCACCAGGTGGATTAATAACTCCACGAGTACGCGAATAACCCAGAGTCTGGTTGACGAAGACTCACACAGCACAAGAACTCGTGTCCTGCTCATTGCAGTTGCGTACGCTGCCGTCAATTTATTCGCTGCAGCCTCCGTGCTATGGCTCCCACGCTCCAAACTTGAGGCCCAACAACTGCGAACATTCGGAGGTTACAGCAGAAAAGGTGCCACGCTGATCGTGGTGCTGTTCGTTGCGCTACTAGCGCTCGCCATCGTCGCAAACTTTGAGATCGTTTAGCATCTGAAGGTTTTCTCACTCTCACAGACCAGAGTACTTACAATATTATTCTTACAGCTTCATCGCTGCCCACCTTTGCGTGTGGCGTTTCTCTGAGTGGAAATCTCCTGTTTCCTGTTGGTCTGCACGATCTGCTTCGCCGTTTCCTCTTCTTTACGCAGCTCGTCGTCCTTTTTCGCTTTGGTCTCTCGCAGTGTCTTCCTCTGGCGATGAAGCAGTTCGTCGCGGTTGGATCCTCTGTTGGATCTCCTGTTAGTTCCATTCTGTCGTCGTCCGGGCGGCGCGACGATCACAATTTTGTGTTGACTGCCTGAATTGGTCCCCTCCAGCCCATTTCCATCCATATCGAAAGCCAAGGCATCGCCCTGTTCATCGATCCCTTCGCTTTCCTGAACGCCAGACGCTATCACAGTTGTGGGTTCTGGTCGAGGGGGCAACGACCTCCAATACAGCGCAATCGAGTGCACCCAGTAGAGCTGACGGAACATGGCTCCTAACTTCCGACGAACGTATTTCTTGCGGTACAACGCAGTGATCAAGTCGCTCTCTGAGTCCTTTACGCCCATAGCTTTACGCCACTGACATTCGACCTGTAGATTGTGACCGACACGGTTGAGCAGCTCCGCGTGGGACAATTCATCACGTCCACGAACACCGCGTAGCCCTCGCAGCACCTTTCGATACATCACTCGAGACTTTTTTCGCGTGTCTTCTTGACGGCGATGAAATTCTCGAAACTTACGCTGAACTCGCAGGACCGCTCGTATCACCAGGATCTGACGGAATAGTCGACGTCCGAGGTGTTCACGAAAGCACCGCTGGATCTGTCGGGCGCTGAAGTCCAAGAGGTTTGCGTACACATGGGAGAGATGACGTTGATCGGCTTCGAGAGAATGGACTAACCGAGAAGTTTCCTCCAAATTCAAGTCGACTTGTTCTTGAGTTTGATTCATCCTTGCAAAACTGTCTCGTACTCGAGACTTGACACGCTTTAAGTCATCGATAGACTTTTCTAGTGGCGTTTTGCTGAAGTCTTCGGGTTGAGGTCGATTTGTACCTTTTCGTGAGATGGAGCCGGCATTTGAGCTCGAAAAATGTGGCAACAAGGTGCGCGGATGAGGCGACGCGAGCTCTCGGTGAGTCAAGGGCAAATGTGAAGGTGGTCGAGGCAACACCGTCGTGCCGATTAGCGGCAGCGGAGGTCGAGTCATCGCACTCAATATTCGAATGAGGTCAAGTAAAAGACTTCTAAAAATGGAGATCTAAAGTTTATTTATCTTGTAAACGTTCTTGCACTTTTTGCCGATAATTACTATTGCTGTTTAGACAAAATTCTGGCTATAATTGTCCCTCGGTGCCTTCCTGTGGGAGGCTCTATCCGACGAGCGTTTGACCTGCTCTAGTTGCACGTCCTCGTGCGTATTTGGAGTCATTTGGGTGTTCGTTTTCGCCTGCTTCTTAAGTGCCAACGAGTCCTTGTTCTGGTTCTTGACCGACCACATCACAGAGACGAAGCTCAAGAAGATAAGTACTGCAGCGACGCCGGCAGATAGCCCCATCGGCGGGCCGTAGGAGCTCAATGAGCTGAATGTTTTGGTTGTACTGGAGGAACTTGATGAAATGGCAGTCGTGCACCGCGGACCGCCCCATGACGACGAGTACGAACACTCACACCGCGACTTGACACATTTTCCAGTCTTCAGTGCAGTTTTCCCCAAAATTCCGCCAATGGTACAGTCGTCGTCGACTGTGCAGAATGCCTTGCCAGCAACTTCCTTGTGGTGATTGTCGTTATCTTCGTACTCGTCAATGTGCGCTTGAATCCATTTCTTGGTCGGATGACTCGCTGGATCACAGCCTACCTGCATAAAGTTATCGTCTTTAAGGTCATTGCCCAAGTCTTGGTACAGACGGATGTAGTCGATCTTCAGATACAGTGGGAACGAGTCGCAAATCTTGTTGACTGCTTCGTCGGATCCGTCGCCACGGCATTCCTTGCCCGGGTTAGGAGGTGTCGCACCCCACGAACTTGACAGCGCCACGTTAAAGATAATGTACATCGGTTCCTCCAGCATGATCTTCTGTGGGTTCGTCTTGTTCGAGCTCTGCGGAACGTCCCAGATGGACTCGGACGGAACTTCAAACAACGGATTGCCCTGAAGCATCCAACGCACATACCCGTTCTTTCCAGTTACCCACTCCAGTTGATACACAACGTAGTCCGTGTAGGCCCCGAGATGTACCGGCCAGTTCGCTGAGATGGCGTCCATTTGGTAGTTGAACGAACTCATGGCGTTTGACCTTGGCGTGCTCTCGTTACGAGGCTGGGCGCACTTGGAGAAGCTATTGTCAGGGTCACATAGGTAGGCTCCAGTGTACACGTTAAAAAGTGGATAACATGTGCCGTTCAAGTTGATACCCCAGTGTTCAGTGCCGGTATCGTCGATTAGTCCCAAGTCTCCGTTAACATCGTTCGATCCAGGACACGTCTCGGTTGAGCACGTGTTCTCCTTGATACCTGATTTGATCGAGGCTGCAATCGTGTCGTAGTCCTGTTTAGCGTCAGCACTGGGCGAACAAAAGTTGTTGGCGGCGTAGCGTAAGCCTTGGTACCAGGATTTATGACCGCGCTTCTCGTAGTACGCGGTTGGAACTCCTACATAGTTCGCTCCTTTCGTCTTGCAACCTGCAGCGTAGATGCACGAGTACGAGTCTCCAGACGCGTAGTCGACACCATAGATACGGTATTCGTCAGGCATTCCAGGACCAATTTGCAGCGACGACGACACCAGAGTACCGCCACCTTCCAGCACGTCGATCTCTGGAGCTCCTCGTCCTTGATTCGGGTTCAACCCGTAGCCAGGATTGTTGTTGCAAGCACTGATACGCTGATAACTCGGTTCAAAGAGCTCGGGTTCGCACTTGTCGTACGAGAATGGCCACATGCGGTTCGTTGACGCCGAGAAAATGGCTCGACCGAGGTTCCCCATCATCCAGATACCAGGCCACGTCGGATAGTATTTGCCGCTCTCGACCTTGGCGTTGTCTCCCTTGGCCAGATCTGGATTTCCAGACTGAGCTGCTACAGCTCCGGGGAGTTGAACGCGAGCCTCGATCATTCCTCCTTGGTAGCAGAATTTGTTCCAGGACTGGACCATTCCGGATCTGTAAAAGAAGTACGCATCCACGTACCCTGGAGGGTGCGTGTACATGTTGTAGACGTGGATAACGTTCTCTTCATCGACCGATTTAATGTAAAAGTAGCAGGTCTCGTCGTCGTCGCACTTGGTTGATGTCATATTGTGAGAGTACAATTCCAGAGCACCGTTCACGCCGTCAGGTTTCTCGAGAGAAGTCCAGATATGGTCGTCGCCAGGTCGGAAGCTGCGGTTGGGCGTGTTGAACTCGTCGCTCATGACTAAATCCCATTGACGTCCACGCGAGCTCAGGTACGTTTGATGGTCCTTGGGGGTGTCCGGGTCGACCCACGTTTTGATACCGGACCTGGTTGGGTATGTGGATTCCGGAATCGTTGCATTCTTAGCTGTAGTGATCGATGTGAGTGTCACCCACGCCACGACAGCAACCAATTGAGGAAACCGCATGGGGGCAAGTTTCTATTTGAGGTCGCAAGTCGACAAGTGCTGCTATCATGACAACGGAATCTAAGAAAAGCCTCATCTAAGAGGTGAAGGGGATCAGTTCCAGAGGTAAAACAGAAAATCGAGATCATCGGCGGCATTATTGTATCAGGATAATCGTCGTAGACAACATGAAAAACCCAGTATGGATTAATAAAAAAAAACAAGAAGCTGTGATCAGTTATCTCAGCGACGACATCGTCTCACTCGTGATTCATCATCCCCCCCGAGACTCAGTAGCGCAGTCTCCGCCTTGCGTTTCTGCTGTCTGTTCCCCGTTCGTTTTAACTTTTTTAGCAACTCGACAACTCCGTGGCGCTTCATTTGTTCCCTGTTCCCTGCATCATTCGCAGCCAGCCGTCCCAGTACAATCGCAGCCTCTTCCTTATTCTCGCCATTATCCGACTTCAAGAGATCCACCAGAGGCGCGATCGCTCCACATTCCACGATCATTTTCTTGCTGACATCAATACTCGCAAGTCGCCCAAAGGCGGTGACGACGAAATGTTTCTGCTCGTCCTTCCCTGTTCGAAGGAAAGCGACGAGTAGTGAAATAATAGTCTTACTGGCCAGAGCTCTCGTGTCGGCGCGACCGTGGTTGGTAACATAACAGAGCGCGAACATTCCCTTGTCTCTCTCCTCCTGTGAACCGCAGCGAATCAGATCGACAAGAAGCTCAATCACTTCGCCACTTATGATCTCGCGTCTGTGCTCTTCACTGCTGGTAGCGATGCAGCCCAACGTTTGGGCTGCCAACCCCTTTTGCTCCATGTTTCCCGTCCGGAGGAAACTCAACAACGGACCAATTCCTCGTGCGTCTACGATCTTCCGGCAGTGGTCTTGGTGGCTATCAGCTAGACTTCCCAGGGTACAAACAGCATGCTCTTTCTGCTCTTGTGTACCATCTCGAAGCAGCGCCACTAAGGGTGCAATAGCGCCGCTCTTCGTCATCTCAGCGCCGGACGCACGATCCATCGCAAGAAACGACAAGGCAAACGCCGCGCTTTCTCTCTGGTTCTGCGTCCCACTTCGTAGGAGCGTGACGAGATCCGCAATGGCTCCTCGACGAGCAATCTCCAGTCGGTTCTCGTCTTGGTTCGCCAACCAGCCTAGCACACACGCCGCGAGCTTCTTTTGTCTACTCGTTCCCGTTCGGAGAAGTCGAATCAGACGCGGGATGCCTCCATTTCGCGCGATTGCTACACCGTATTCGTCGCGGACGGCAGCAATGCCATCCAGCGCAAAGACTGCGAAGTTCTTGGGGATTGTCGCTTGTGCGCGTAGAAGACCAACCAGAAACGGGATCGCCCCGCTTTCCACGACTGTGGCGCTGTTGGAGGCGCTATCCGCACTCAGCTGGCCCAGCACGCAGGCAGCGAAGCCTCTTTGAGTTTCCGAGCCATTCTTCAGAAGCTCCACTAACACAGGGATGGCTCCCTCGGCTACTATTGCGCTTCTGGCCTCGCCATCACATGCCAAATTTCCCAGCGCATCCATCGTCCATATCGTCAGAGCTTCGTTCCCACTGCCAAGTAGCGTGACTAGAGGCGGGACGACCCCCGCGTTGAAGAGCTGTCGTCGTCCATTGGCCCCAGCTGCGCATGCACAGTACATGACAGTCCTCAGCGTGTCGTGGTCATTGTTACGTAACATCTGCGCGAGAGAAGCACATTCGGACTCTGTGGGGGCCCCAATCGTTTCTTGGAGAGCTTCAAACTCGGCGTCCGGCGGCGTTGAGTCGAGCTCGCAAGACCAGCACAAACACCCCAACGCACACACTTGTAGCAAATGGGTTCGCCCCGTTTTCACCAAGTCTTCCAAGGCGGATACTCCGTTTCCTTGCTGCATCTGCTGACGGGTGTGGTCGCAAATACAGGCTTGTAGCAGTAGTAGAACGGCACTCTCTTGCTCGTCAATAGATCCACTACGAAGCACAGCAACAAGGTCCACAATAGACGAGGTGGCGTCTAACTCCACCACAACACTCGGAGATGCGACGTGTGCCGGCGACCCACAGCTCGAGGACGATTCGTCTTGAAGTCCCAGCTGGTTTACACACTGAGCACAGCTACGAGAGTAGTCGAGAACCAGCGCCGTACAGACGATACAACGAGTCACTCCTCCATCACCCAGATCCTCCGTTGCAAGCGTCTTTAACGTATCAATCACAAGAGTTAACTCCACGCGCTTAGAAGGGTCAGCATGGGTCATTGAAACCACCAACTCCCACACTTGGTCACTCATTTCTTGAGGCTTTTCAGGGACCACTCCAGACTTGAGAGTCTCCCGGACGTCGTCGTCATCTAAGAACGCGAACGGAGGCTCTCCAGCAGAAGCTTCGATCATGCACATGGCCAACGAGTAGACGTCGGAAGCGAACGTCGGCCGTCGAGTAAGACACTCCGGGGCTCGCCAACGTAGATGCGCTGAGCTGCACGTACGAGTCTTGGAAATAGCACGCATCGTCCTCAATCCAAAGTCCGTCAATCTGGCTTGTCCGTCGGCTCCGACTAAAATGTTGCTCAGTTTGAGACAGCCGTGTATCACTCCTTGACTGTGGATAAAAGCTAGTCCGAGTGCTGCTTAATAGAGTAATTTCCACATTTCTTTCTTGTTATCTTCCGACAAGGAGAGGTACGAACCCATGTCTCCATTGATCGCGTCTTCGTAGACAAGAAACGAGGCGAGCTGACGTGACAAGCACCCAGCATTTTGACAATATGTGTGTGCTCCATCTGGAACAGTCGATCCAATTCTTTTTCTAATTGTCGCGCTGTTCGGATGTCGATTCGCATGTCGTCAACAGCACAGCACTTCACCACCACGGGACTGTCATTCTTGACCCCGCGATGGACTGATCCACACGAGCTCTTGGCAAATGGCTGGGACTCGAATTCTACTTGATTACTCGGTAGAAACCACGCCGGCAACTGTCCTACTGCCACTCTAGAGCGATGTATTATCGTTTCATTTAGCGAACTCATCCGTGCCTTATCTGTCTCATTGTGTCTCTCGTGTTGCTTCTCCAGCTCAAATTTTAGCGTCAGCATCGCTTCCAACTGAGCTCTTGGGCTTTGGAGATCGCGAAGAGCGATGCTAGCGTCGCTGATTGCCGTAGTCAACACCGTTTCCAGTGCGTGACGATCGTCTTCCCACTGACCCACTGCAGTGACGTCCAAGAAGTCGAAGAAAAGCTCCGAAACTTCTTCATGAAGAGCTTTCAGCTCACCAGCCACCGCAGTATGGTTGATGACATGGTATACGAGATTTTTATTACTGTTCCGCTCTAGAAAACGCAAGAACTTGGTCGCTACAGCTTTGCACTGACCCAGCGCGTTGGTTGAGAAGCTTTGACTCTTGTGTTTCGTGAACTCTAGTTCTTCATGGAGATCTTTGAGACGGGAACACAGATGCTCGCATGTCGGCCGTAGCGAGTCCATCGTAGCGCATAATTCTTGAGCCGTAGTGAGTGCACGGGGCAGAACTCCTGCCCCACAATCAAGAACGCGAGCAACTCCTGACATGGCCAGTAGAGTTTTTTTAATTATTAAAGTATTAATAACACTTTAGAAAATAAATGCATGGCTTGAAGCCATTGGCTTCATGTAAGAACCATGTGTTTCCGACGACTTACATGTACAGTTCAGTAGAAATTATTAAAGCGACGAACCATCAAATTTAGGCTGAGAAATCTACAACCAGAATACAATTCATACAATTTAAATTTTGAAGGATTTTAATACCCGGTACTGTACAAAGCTACTTCGAAGTCACAAAAAATTCTGGCTGTAGTTGTCCTTTGGCTCGTATTCTGAAATGGACAGATTAATGGGGAATGACGGGCGAGTTTGCTCCATTTTCTTCACTTCGGCTGTCCTGATTGCTTCCTCTGCCTGTTTGTTAAGCGTTCGAATGGACATCGAGGCGGCGATCAATGTCGATATCAGCGAAACAATTGCCACACTGAGTGATACCGCCATGGAGGGACCGTAGGTGCGCTGCGTAAAGGACCCCGTACCGGTCGGTTCTTCTGCGAGAGCGGTCGTACATCGAGGTCCACCCCACGAGTTGGGATGCGAGCAGACACAACGAGCCTCGACGCATTTTCCCGTAACTAACTTCCGATTCCCGCTTTTACCAATAGTGCAGTCACTGTCGGTCTTGCAGAAACCTTTACCAACCACCTCCGTCCAGGGGTTGTGGAGGTCCTCGTATTCATCCATGTGACCTTGAATCCATTCTCTTGTCGGGTGACTTGCTGGGTCACAACCGAGTTGCATGTAGTCGTCCGTACCGCGATTCCCCTTTGGGTCCTGGTACAGCCGGATGTAGTCAATTTTCAGGAACATCGGGAAGTCGTCACAAATTTTATTGACTGTCTCATCGGTGCCATCCCCACGACATTCTCGACCTGGATTGGGCGGTGTAGCGCCCCATGAACGCGACAAAGCCACGTTGAAAATGATTGACATTGGCTCCTCCAACATGAGTTTCTGAGGATTATTTTTCTTGTCATTTTGAGGAACAACGGAGAACGCTTGAGCTGTCACTTCAAAAAGAGGCTGACCGTCTCCCATCCAGCGCACATATCCATTATCCCCAGTCACCCACTCGACCTGGTACACGAAATAATCCATATACGCGCCTAAATGCACCGGCCAATTTGCTGAAATGGCATCCATTTGGTAGTTGAACGACTCCATCGAGTTGGTTTTCGGCGTGGTGGAGTTGCGGGGCTCAAGACACTTTTCATCTGTGTTATCCGGATCGCACAGGTACGAGCCCATGTACGAGTTCATGACTGGGAAGCATGTACCGTTGCTGTTGATTCCCCAATGGTCCCACCCGACTCCGCCGATTGGATCCAAATCACTGTTCGGGTCAAGCGACGCTGGGCACGTTGCTGCCGTGCACGTATTATCTGTGACTCCAGCTTTTAGCGACGCTTTAATCGTGTCGACATCCTGCTTCTCATCCGCTGAAGAACTACAGAAGCTGTTTGACGCGTAGCGCAGACCTTGATACCAGGATTTATGGCCTCGTTCCTTCTCATAGTAAGCGGTGGGGATGTCGATGAGATTCGCACCGGGGGTCTCGCAATCGTACTTATATACGCAGTATATATCCTTTGCGTCGTATTTTTTCTCCGCTGGGAACAAGCGAAAGTCACTGGGCATTCCAGGCGCAATCTGCAATGACGACGAGATCGCCACACCGCCTCCTTCTAAGATATCGATCTCGGGCGCTCCACGACCTTGGTTTTTATTGAGACCGTAGCCTGGATCATCATCGCACGCGCTGATACGTTGATTCTTCGGGTCAAAGATGTCTGGCTCGCATCTGTTGTACGAGAATGGCCACATTCGACTCGTAGAAGCCGAGAAAATAGCACGGCCGAGGTTCCCCATCATCCAAATTCCGGGCCAGGTTGGGTAGTAGCTGCCAGTCGTCGCTCGCCCGGATTTACCAAGAGCAAGATCCGGATTCCCAGAATTCTTGGACAGAGCTCCTGGAAGCTGAGCCCGTACCTCCATGAGACCTCCTTGGTAGCAGAATTTGTTCCATGACTGCACCATTCCAGCTCTATAGAAAAAGGACACGTTCTCGTACTGAGGTGGATTCAGGTACGCGTTGTAAACAGTTAACTCGCTGACTTCGTCGATGGCTTCGATATAGAAGTAGCACGTTCCATCGTCGTCGCATTTCGTGGAGGTCATGTTGTGGGAATACACTTCAAGTGCTCCGTTCACCCCGTCGGGTTTCTCTAGCGAAGTCCATAGATGGTCGTCGCCAGGTCGGAAGCTGCGGTTTGCAGTGTTGAACTCGTCGCTCATGACGAGCTGCCATTTCTCGCCTCGGGATGTCTCGATCGATTGTGCGTTGGCTGGGGTTGCTGGGTCTACCCATGCTCGAATGCCAGACGCGGTAGGATACTCCTTTTGAATCGCAGCTTCAGCTATACGAAAACTGTACGGTCGAGAGCTCCATAGTGCGAAAAAGAGCACGATCTCTCCTATCATCATGAGCATACACGCGCGAGCTTGGGTAGTTCGGCGTGGCTGGCTAGTTCGCAAATGGAGTCTTCCAAACCATTTACAATCTCTGTGGTTCTCTTGCGGAGTCAGAAGCATAGAACGCCAACTGTACACAAGTTGCTTGAGTACGGAGATTGCCTTTATAGCAACGGTGAAAAAAACTTTGGCGTATCTTGGGGGTAGTTGTGCTGGCGACAAATAATTCGGGTGGCATGGCGCCCAACAGCATTCCCAGATCCTGGTTGGTGCGTCCTACGTGTAGTAATACGCACAAACGCACTGCGTACGTGTAGATGGTTAATAAAAAGCTTTATTCATGACTCAAGGGTATCGGCTCCTATGAGGAGCGGATACCAGTGCACACTTGGAAAGGACCAATTCCGGCTCGTAGCGGGTGAGTTTCGGTGAGGAGCTGAAGGATTATTCAGCTTGGAGTACTTGTTTAAGTGTCCGAATCGTAAAAAGACGTTGTTTGTATCGTAACTCGGTCAGTACCGCTATGATGCTTCCGCGCCAGCACGCTGCTAATACTGCAAATGGAAGCCCAAGCTGTCAGCAAGATGTACACACTGTGTCCTATTAATAGATGTGGCTGTGGATAACCGGATATTAAATAGCAGCTATCAAACCAGTACAGAAATCTGCCTGAATAAGGAACGGGGTTTCAATTAATAACCTCGCAATTTTTATAGTCGGGAAAGATTTAGGGAGATGGGATAGTGATGGGCAAGGTACTGACAACAATCCAGGCACTGACTTTGATTTCAATTTCAAAAATGGCGCGCAGTAGATGATCCTCCTTCGCTTCAAGCCCTACGAGCCGAACTTCATTCCTACATTTACATTCAAGCTCACTAGCCGACTGCGTTCACTAAGCAATGTCCGTGTTGAGAAGCTACCCCCGAGCACCACCGCCAAGATCCAGCCGCTGGATCAGGATCATCAACAGCATTAAAGCTACATCTTATCGCAAAAAACTGATGTTCGCATTGGATCACCTAGGCGAAGGTCTCGATAACTCGTACAACGTCGACCAGCTAACTGCACTACTCTGGTGCGAGGCTGCATGGTCTAAAGTTAGCGCTTCCACGATTCAGCACTGCTGGAATCTTCAATTATCCTAACATAACTCAATACATGCACATGATAGGCGAGGCATTGTCAGCTTATGCAATCTCTTTCTTAATTTATATCAGGCGTTCCTTATTCAGGCAGATTTCTGTACTTCGAAGCAGCTTTTGCAGGCTGAGATCGGGCAGCTTACAATGTAAGTTACATGTGAACATTTGTTAGCTAATACTGTACGATACAGTGTAAGTTTTGCAGGCTGAGATCGGGCAGCTTACAATGTAAGTTACATGTGAACATTTGTTAGCTAATAATAGGTACTGTACAGTGTACAGATGAACCCTTCGGTAGTTATAGCGTCGGGAAACAACATTTTATGCCGAGCACTACCATCCATTCCATTCCTTTGCCCCCGGGGTATCAATTTTCAATTTTCCAAGCTAGTGCCCCCGCGATGTCAGTCGAACCTAAGCCAACTAGCACCATGCTCACCAATTGGTGCCTGCGAGGATTTCCGTAGTGGACATATTTCGGGCGATCCCACTCTCTTTTAAATTCAAGTTTAAATGTAAACAAGGTCCATCGAATTCCTGGTGAATATCTCACTATTAAAAGTACCCATTTTGACGATCGTCCAAGTGCTGCGTATTCGAGCTGATTCAACGGGCGTGTCGGATAATAGTGTACAGGGGCTTTAGACGATACATAGAGGGCTGCGAGACGAGCTAAGCAGCAAGTGCCTACTTTGCACAATAGTGACTTCCCCATAGTTAAGCACCTCAGATCAGTCATTTTCGTGGTAATTTTTTTTCTATATTTTGATGAAGGGTTAGAGGTTTATTTAATCTTAGGCTTTTAAGCGCCAAGACTTCGGGAACTGATATTTTATTCTTGTCGAAGGGTATTCCTAGAGCAGGGATTACTACCGAAAGACATATCGCAATGTAATAAAGTCGCAGAGACATATCGCGATGTGCATCGTTAAATTGTCTCGACATCAGAAAACACGAAAACTAGGTACGTATTGTGAGCTCATGCTGAAGTTACATGGCGAGGAGACCGCTATCTAACATACCCGGCATGTCCTTAGAAGCTGTTCATATTAGCACTTGCTTTATAAAAAGGTTGTAATTGCATGTAAGACGTTCAAACGGCACCTCACAGATTTTGTTGACTAAGGCCACTACAATAATGTAATCAACTCTTTGGATTTGAGGTTTCCTAGGCTACAAATCGATGCTTGCCGACATGTATTACGGCAATGCCCGGCAATATGCCGTTACGCCTAGGCTACAAATCGATGCTTGCCGACATGTATTACGGCAAGCATCGATTTGTAGCCTAGGCGTAACGGCATATAGTACTGAGCTATACCGGAAGCAACGGGCACAAGAAGCGGTTTGAGGACATCATCCCGAAGAAAGACTGAAGAAGACGTACTGACAATCCAAGATGCAGAGACTATGCATCTGCAGCAGTGTTCGTCATGAGAAACGGCAACTAAAGTAGTTTTAAAATTACCTCTGCTTATTTTTCATGTACTGTAGCACGTACAGATTGAGAGCGAGTCTCACTAAGGCTTTGATGTACAGTTACATGTACAGACCAGCAATTCAGTACATTTACGGTCATTCGCGTCCGCACTTCCATTCCCGCAGGAAAACGTTTATTGCTGTGCTCGGATAGACGCTACAGGGTGTTTATTCATTGTTCATCATGGCATTGCGTTGTTGTGGGCTTCAAGTCGGGTCAATTTCGAGGGCTGATTACCGGTACGCTGGTAACGAGTGGATCAAACAGCTGTGCAGATGGTCTGCGGCTCTCCGACCTATCTCACTCGGCGAATTGCCGCCTCAAGTTCATTATAACCTGCTCAAGACGCAGTATAACAACTCAAAAGTATAGCTATGGGCCTTCTACAATACGCTACACAGGCTTTTGCCGTCGCTTGGGTCATTATGGTCAGCTCCGTTTTGGCCAAGAACAGCACAACTGGGAGCACCACTTATCCGACTAAATCGGGCATCCGTATCTGGGTCGACCCAGCCACACCCGACGACCGACAGACGTACACTAGCTCTCGTGGTCGGCATTGGGATCTCGTTATGAGTGATGAGTTCAACATGCCAAACCGCAGCTTCCGACCTGGAGACGACCATATCTGGACTTCCCTCGAAAAGCCTGACGGTGTCAACGGCGCCATGGAGCTGTATTCACACAATATGACGTCTACCAAGTGTGACGACGACGGAACGTGCTACTTCTATATCAAGGCCATGGACGAATTCAACGTCATTCACGTCTACAACATGTACATCCACCCTCCGAAATTCGTTGATGCCTACTTCTTCTACCGCGCGGCAATGGTCCAGTCCTGGAACAAGTTCTGCTACCAAGGAGGAATGATCGAAACGCGCGTACAGCTCCCCGGTGTGGTCACACCCGACTCCGGGAACCCCGATCTTGCACTCGGCAAGGACTCAAAGGTGAAAACGGGCAAGTATTACCCGACATGGCCCGGTATCTGGATGATGGGGAATCTCGGTCGAGCCATTTTCTCGGCATCGACTAACCGCATGTGGCCGTTCTCATATGATAAATGTGAACCTGACCTGTTTGACCCGAGCTACCAGCGTATCAGTGCGTGCAACGACAACCCCGGCTACGGACTGAACCCGAACCAGGGTCGTGGTGCTCCTGAAATTGACGTGCTGGAGGGTAGTGCGTCTCTTGTGTCTTCGTCGCTGCAGATTGGTCCAGGCATGCCAGATGAATATCGTGTCATGGGAATCAACTACGCGCAAGACCCGCCTTCCTGTATCTACGGTGGTACCTGTACGACGCCCGGTGCGAACTACATCGGTGTGCCAACCGCTGTGTACAACAATCGTGGTCACAAATCCTGGTACCAGGGGTTACGATACGCTGCTAACAACTACTGCAAGCAAGACCCTAAAGCGAAGCAGGACTATAAGACCGTCGCTGCATCGATGAAGGCCGGGATTACCAAAAACACGTGCTCAGTGGACAGTTGTCCGGCCTCCACGGACGCGTATAGTGACTTGAGTCTCATCGACGACAAGGGAGAGGACCACTGGGGCATCAACAGCAACGGCACGTGTTATCCGCTGTGGAACGTGTACACAGGTGCCTACTTGTGTGACCCTGACAACACGTACTGGAAATGTGCGCAGCCTCGAAACGCAACCACGACACCCCCGTCGAACGCCATGAGCTCGTTTAACTACCAAATGGACGCTATCTCGGCCAATTGGCCTGTACAGGTTGGTGCGTACACCGACTTCGTCGTGTATCAAATTGAATGGGTTACGGGTAAGAATGGCTACGCGCGCTGGATGTTGGGTGGGAGCCCGTTGTTCGAGGTGCCATCGGAGTCAATCTGGAACGTCCCCCAGAATGCAAACAAAACTAACCCGACCAAATTGATGCTGGAGGAACCGATGTACCTTATTTTCAACGTCGCGCTCTCGAGTTCGTGGGGTGCTTCGCCTCCTAACCCCGGTAAACAGTGCCGCGGCGATGGCTCTGATGAAGAAGCCAATAAAATCTGCGACGCCTTCCCGTTGTACATGAAGATCGACTACATCCGACTGTACCAGGATCTGGGCGACGATCTCGAGGCCGACAACTATATGCACGTTGGCTGCGACCCCGATACCCACCCTACCAAGAAGTGGATCGACGCTCATATCGACGAGTACGAGGATAACGACAATAAACACAAGGAGGTCGCTGGCAAGGCCTTCTGTACCGTGAACGACGACTGCACGATTGGAGGTAATTTGGGCAAGACGCTGCTGAAGACGGGAAAGTGTGTGAAGGGACGATGCCAGTGCACGTACTCGTCGTCGTGGGGTGGACCCCGGTGCACCACAGCAATCTCCGGCTCGGCGGGTTCATCCGGCTCGCTGGGAAAGACTCTGTCAAAGAATTCATACGGCCCTCCGATGGGATTGTCAATCGTCGTGGCAGCGATCGTTGTGATCCTCAGCTTCGCCTCCGTGGCGTGGTCCATTATTAGAGAAAACAATGCGGCTGCCATCATGGCGAAGAAAAAGAAAAATGCTGCGGACATGGGGCAGTACAGCAATAGCAGCGACGCACGCCTGGAGCAGGTCAGGCACGTCTCGGGCAGGGATTCGTACGGCAATGGCCACGTTCAGGGCCACGGCAATGATATTCACCGCCGACCGAAAGACAATTACAGTCAAAACTTCGTGTAAGTTAGCTTGACTCTGCCTTTTAGCAAAACACAGCATACACAAATCTTGCAATAATATCAGTTCTTAAATGCTAAGTAAATACTTGAATAAAGTAATCGAAATAGAAATATAAAGAAAAATAGTACTTTATTTTTCTACACTGTTTTTGCTGGACAACAGCTGAAATTATTCGCCGAAATTATTTTAATATTACTACCTATAATTGTGCCCCGGGTCCACGGTGCTATTTTAGGGGGGGGGCTTTATTTTAAGGAGGGCATAGATCAATGTCAGTGTCTTTGCCGGGCCCTCGTACTTAAAGATCTTTGATGATTATAATAGTTCTGGCTTCTTCGTCTTGGTTAGAATGCGTTTCAGCAACCTTGTTACCAGTGCCGCCTTCAAGCACCAAAAAAAGAATCTGATAGCTTCCAGAGGGGGTACTATAATAAAGAGCCTCCCCCTCTTTATTATAGCACCCCTCTGGAAGTGGGCCACTTATTTTAGGGAGGGCTCAAAATTTAGGGCGAGGAACTCGTATTTAAAAAGGTGTTTATTATTACTTCGAAGAATGCCAAAGCTACGACTTTAAACGCTGTCTTTCAGCGATTCTTTAGGGCTTTCGTCCGCGACCTTCATGGACCTCATGGCTGCCTTCTTCCTTTTCGCGGCGCGGGCAGTCGACACATAGATAGATATAGTCACTAGCCCGACGACGATAGAGGATACCGTAATGGATGCCCACAGAGGTGGGCCATAGGTTGTGCTGCCCGAGGTCGTAGCCCCCGAAACGGCAGTCGTGCATCGCGGTCCTCCCCACGATTTGTACAGACACTCGCAGCGCTGGTTCACACATTTACCGGTTTTCACGGACGTTCTGCCCACCGTACCGCCAATAGTGCAATCGTCGTGCGTCTTACAGAACGCTTTGCCGGTTACTTCCTCCCACTTGTTGTCGTTGTCTTCGAACTCGTCCAGGTGAGCGTCGATCCACTGCTTTGTGGGGTGCGTCTTGGGGTCACAGCCAACGTGCATGTAGTTGTCAGCATCCAGGTCGTCTGCTAAGTCCTGGTACAGACGGATGTAGTCGATCTTCATGTACATCGGGAACGAGTCACAAATTTTGTTGACAACCGGGTCAGTGCCATTTCCACGGCACGCCTTGCCCGGGTTCGGAGGAGTAGCACCCCACGAGCTCGACAGCGCGACATTGGCGATGATGTACATTGGCTCTTCCAACATGATCTTCGACGGGTTCGTCTTGTTCGAGTTCTGCGGTACGTTCGTGATCGACGCGGATGGGACCTCGAACAGCGGACTGCCCTCCAGCATCCACCGCACATATCCGTTCTTACCCGTGACCCACTCCACTTGGTACACCAGGTAGTCTGTGTACGCACCGAGTTGGACGGGCCAGTTGGACGAGATGGCGTCCATTTGGTAGTTGAATGAACTCATAGCGAACGACTTGGACGTCGTAGTCTCATTGCGCGGACTGGCACACTTGGAGTACGTGTTGTCAGGGTCGCACAGATAGGACCCAGTGTACACGTTGAAGAGCGGGTAGCAGGTCCCGTTCGAGTTGATGCCCCAGTGGTCTTCCCCGACGCCGTCGATTAAACCAATGTCCGCGTTGACGTCATTGGAGGCAGGACAAGCGTCCACGGAGCAAGTATTGTTGACGATTCCAGCTTTCAAAGATGCAGCGATTGTTTTGTAGCTCTGCTTCTTGTCACCGCTCGATTTGCACAAGTTGTTGGCGGCGTATCGAAGTCCTTGGTACCAAGATTTGTGGCCGCGCTCGTTCTTGTAGTAGGCGGTCGGCACGTCAATGTAGTTCGCACCGGGCGTATTACAGCTAGCCGTGTAGATGCAGCCGTAGTAGTCTCCAGTAGAGTAATTGAGTGAGAAAATGCGATATTCATCGGGCATACCAGGGCCAAGCTGTAGTGACGACGAGATCAGCGATGCACTACCTTCTAGCACATCGATCTCAGGGGCACCACGACCTTGATTCGGGTTCAATCCGTAGCCCGGGCTGTCGTCACACGCACTGATACGTTGGTTGCTGGGGTCGAACAGGTCGGGCTCGCACGCATCGTAGGAAAATGGCCACATGCGGTTTGTAGAACCCGAGAAAATAGCGCGACCGAGGTTCCCCATCATCCAGATTCCAGGCCAGGTTGGGTAGTATTTTCCGGTTTGCACCTTTGCGTTCTTCCCCAGTTCCAGATCGGGGTTTCCAGAAGCCTTTGACACAGCCCCAGGAAGTTGGGTACGCACCTCGAGCATTCCGCCCTGGTAGCAGAATTTATTCCACGACTGCACCATTGCTGAGCGGTAGAAGAAATAGGCGTCCACGAAGCCAGGAGGATGGATGTACATGTTGTACACGTTGATTACATTTAGCTCGTCGATCGATTTGATGTAGAAGTAACACGTTCCGTCGTCATCACACTGGGTTGAAGTCATGTTGTGTGAATACAGCTCCATTGCACCATTGACACCATCAGGTTTCTCGACGGACGTCCACATGTGGTCGTCTCCAGGTCGGAAGCTGCGGTTGAGCACGTTGAACTCGTCGCTCATAACGAGGTCCCATTTTCTGCCACGTGAAGTGATGTACTCGTGATCGCTCTCTGGTGTGTCCGGATCGACCCAGATCTTGATTCCCGACTTGGTCGGATACGTGTTGTTCTTCGCCGCAGTGGCTACTGTCGCCAGTATGGCTACAGCTATTGTTGCGACCTGGCGAATCTGCATGGTAATTCCTGAAAAGTTAAAGCTCGCCGTTCACGTCCAGCGAAGTCGAGGCGGCAAGTTGCCGAGTGATGATGTCAACCCAGTCGAACAAACGACAGGTATCCAGAAATGTTTTGCTGCTTTCATTTGAGAAGTGCTGTGTACAACCAGTACATGTACATGTATTACGTGTACATAGCTTGTTTGTTTCTCCAGCCACTCATTCTCAGCGTAATCGATACGGGCAAACTGTTCATAAGAGAGACAGGACAAGTCCAATTTTGCCTTTTATAAGGTACATGTACCGGTAATTCGAAAACAGGCGCCTGCTGCCTTGTTTGAATCTCCGACCATGCTTGTTTAAAACAGAGCACAAAAAGAAACACTGGTGGAGGCTTACGAATTACTGTACACGTGTTAATAGCTGACAAAGTCCGTCACTATAAATTCTGTCTCGCTATGTACGTGGCATGCTGCCCGAAAACTGTGAACGTATTATAGTTATGGCAGCTTTACAATGTATTAATAGAAACACTTTCTATGAGAGTGGCCACACGTTGATATTTTTTTTCATTACAGTAGCGGACGTCATGTTAAGGACGCACGATACGGTGTAAACATGTCCTTTGCACCGTAAGAACACATGTATGTTCAGATCCGTGCCAAGATTTGTATCGCTACGTTGTGTGGACATCATCAGAAGCGAATCACAAAATCATGCACTTGGATGGGGTTAAATCCTTTAGCTCGCACGTTGTGAGCCCTGTACGGCAGGGCTCGCGGCCATCCAGCAATCGACGGGTAAGACATGGAAGCCGTAGCGAATCGATGCTCAACTTGTAGTTTTTATCCAACTTACACGTAAAAAACATCGCTTGCTGAGAATGTGTGCTTGCCGTGACTTTTCAAGATAGCTTCCTCAGGATAGGAAAGGTACAGTACGTGTACAGTACAGTACCTGCTTGCAGATCTCGATTTGACCACGGCGTCATCAAGCTGGTGGTCTCCTGAGACGCGAGCAGTCCAACTGGAACCTGCACCTTATTACAGGCTGTAATTTACAGCGTCTGTGAAGGTGTATCTACCGGTACTGTACATGTACATGCACTGCAGTGCAATCTGCACAGTGTGCGTTTTATCAATAATAGATACTGTATCAATGCACATATCATTAAAAACGCCAATTCGACAAGTCATGATCTGCTGTAAATCGATAATTATCTGCATTTTAAGTACATGTATGCAGATAAACGGGCTCATAATCATGCACGTTTATGCTGGGAATACCTAATTCAGAAGTCCCTACTAAGAGTTCCCGCAGAAATTACAGTACTATGGATAAGTATACATTTCTTCATTTGTACGATTACAACCAGGAATGCACAGGATCGAATTTGAGCTCTGTCCAGCGGATATTGCCCTTTTGCCGTGAGCCACTTGGGCCGGGGCCCACGCGTTTCCCAAGCCTCAACGAGTGCCGCCTGCCATGTCTCTCCGTATGTATCGTCAGCCATGGGATTCGACAAGCAAAACATGAGCGCGGCTCGCATCGAGCGGAGCAGAAAACAGCCCCAGATTACGCTAAACGAGTGCCTGTTTTATTATCGTTCTGTGGGCTCGACAGAAGGAGGAAGAACTCTGGAGTGGCAAATGCTTGGTAGCCGGGGAGTTTTCAGCTTTCGCGACGTCTGCGATCAATTCGACAGGCGCCTCACTCGGCAAATTTCCGCTCCAAACTCACAAGCCCACACAATGGACGCGCTAGACTTTCCATCCTAGCCCCAGAAACAATAATGCGGCTTCGACAATACTCAACGTGGGTTACGGTCGTGGTTTGGGTGGTCACGTTAGCGTTCGTCACGGCGGCTAAGAACGATACGACGGCAGGTGCGACGTACCCGACAAAGTCGGGAATCAAGATCTGGGTCGACCCTGCAACGCCCGACAACCACCAGACGTACATCAGCTCGCGCGGCAGAAAATGGGACCTCGTCATGAGCGACGAGTTCAACACTCCCAACCGCAGCTTCCGACCGGGTGATGACCATATCTGGACGTCGCTGGAGAAACCCGACGGTGTGAACGGTGCGCTTGAACTCTATTCGCATAACATGACTTCGACCAAATGCGACGACGACGGAACGTGCTACTTCTACATCAAGGCTGTCGACGAATTGAACGTCATCCACGTCTACAATATGTACACGCACCCTCCCGGATTTGTGGACGCTTACTTCTTCTATCGCGCAGCAATGGTTCAGTCGTGGAACAAATTCTGCTACCAGGGTGGAATGATCGAAACGCGCGTACAACTCCCGGGCGTCGTCGCACCCGACTCTGGCAATCCCGATCTTGCCAAGGGCAAAAACTCCAAGGTCGAAGCGACCAAGTACTACCCAACGTGGCCCGGCATCTGGATGATGGGGAACCTTGGTCGAGCTATTTTCTCGGCATCAACGAACCGCATGTGGCCGTTCTCCTACGACAAGTGTGAGCCGGACCTCTTCGACCCGAGGTACCAACGTATCAGCGCGTGTAGCGACAACCCGGGCTACGGATTGAACCCAAACCAAGGCCGTGGCGCCCCTGAGATTGACGTGTTGGAAGGCGGCGCTACGCTTGTGTCGTCGTCACTTCAAATTGGACCTGGTATGCCTGATGAGTACCGTGTTATTGGCGTTAACTACTCAAGCGGAGACAGTTCGTCATGTATCTATGCTGGTTCGTGCATGAGTGCCGGCGCGAATTACGTCGACGTCCCGACGGCGTACTACAAGAAGGAGCGTGGACACAAGTCCTGGTACCAGGGACTGCGTTATTCAGCCAACAACTACTGCCAGCAGGACGCCGATGCCAAGCAATCGTACAGCACAATTGCTGCATCCGTGAAATCTGGCATCACTGAGAACTCGTGCTCGGTGGACATTTGTCCTGGTTCAAACGACGTCAACGGCGATTTGAGCTTGATTGACGGCAAGGGCGATGATCACTGGGGTATCAACACGAACGGCACCTGTTTCCCACTTTTCAACGTGTACACCGGCGCCTACTTGTGTGACCCGGACAACTCATTCTACAAATGTGCCCAGCCGCGAAATGAGTCTACTACACCCAAGTCGAACGCCATGAGCTCGTTCAACTATCAGATGGACGCCATCTCGGCCAATTGGCCCGTGCATCTCGGCGCGTACATGGAGTTTGTGACTTACCAGCTCGAGTGGGTCACCGGCAAGAACGGGTACGTGCGATGGAATCTCATGGGTAGCCCGCTGTTTGAAGTGCCGTCCAAGGCTATCTGGGATATCCCGCAGAATACGAACAAAACGAATCCGACCAAGACGATGCTGGAGGAGCCGATGTACCTCATTTTCAACGTCGCGTTGTCGAGTTCGTGGGGTGCCACGCCGCCCAACCCGGGCAAGGAATGCCGCGGCGACGGCTCCGATAAAGAGGCCAACAAGATCTGTGGCGCCTTCCCGTTGTACCTGAAGATCGACTACATCCGTCTGTATCAGGACTTGGCAGATGATCTTGATGCCGATAACTACATGCACGTTGGCTGTGATCCCGAAACGCACCCTACCAAGAAGTGGATTGACGCTCATATCGATGAATACGAGGACGACGACAATAAACACAAGGAGGTTGCTGGCAAGGCCTTCTGTACTGTGAACGATGATTGTACGATTGGAGGTACCTTGGGTAAGACGCTGTTGAAGACTGGCAAGTGTGTGAAGGGACGATGCCAGTGCACGTACTCGTCGTCGTGGGGTGGCCCGCGTTGTACTACAGCCGTCTCTGGCTCCTCTTCAAGCACCGTCGCCAGCAAGACCGTCAGCACTAACGCGTATGGCCCTCCATTCGGCATGTCGATTAGTATCGCGGCTATTATCGTGTTCTTGAGTTTCGTGTCGGTGATGTGGTCGTCAAAGAAGGAGAAGAAGGCAGCGGCTTTGCTCCAAAAGCAGGGCAAGATTGCTGCAGACCTGACCTACCGCGGCAACGATGCGCAGGTCAAATACGACGCCGAACGGCAGTCACATGGCAACGGAAGCGACCCTCGTCAGAGACCGAGGGACAACTACAGTCAGAATTTCGTCTAACTCTCGAAAGAATTACCTAACTATCAACTTAATCAAGTGAGTCCAAGAACCACCATAGAGCGTTACAGTTTCATCAAGTGTGAGCCCCACTTGTGCCCGGTGGAGCGCTATCCGAGACCACGAATACTTATAGAGTGTTGTGCCGCCAGACGGATGCAAGACATACTATTTTATACGATGACTTTGTCAAGAACCAGTAAGCGGTCGTTTGTAGCGGTCGACATTCCGACGTTCATTGCTCGAGGCGGACGGCGCGAACGGAGTTCTATGAAGTGGCAAGGCGCCATGAGTTTTTTACAAGAGAGCAAGTGGCTGCTCACAATTTGGAGAAGGGTGAACGGCGAGGGGCGAAGTTTCATCATTGTGATGCTGCTATTGTATCGCACTGAAGACCCCCCCCGTTTTGCAAGATTATCTTGTCTCGAGGCAGGAATCCGAATGCTGTCCTGCTGTGCACGGTGCACAGCACTGGGAAAGGAAAGCCGGGACTTGCACTTTGAAGTTGGATGAGCGCAAACACCACCAAACTGAAGGATCGCTTCGACCATCCGATGGATACCGTTGCTGCGCTGAGCTTGTGCAGTTGGATCAAAGCTACGAGACTTGGTGAGAAGCTTTCACCAGTTGCTCTCTTTAGTCGCGTTTGGTTCGCTGTGTGTGTGAGGCCTGGAATGCGACTGCTTTCGGAGACGACAGATCCCGAATTTGATCGTGACTGGTGCCAAAGCCTTCCTGCTAATCATCGTCCGAAGACGTCGGATTACGTACGCCTCAACTCGGATAGCCTCACGTTCGCTACAAACGCGCAAACGAACGGTGCTTCTGCCGGCATACCGGTACATGTACTACACTGTATACCGGTAATATTACGCCGCTGTATAATAACAGCGGTCGCAATGGACACCGCAGAGTGTGGCCCCGACGCTGTCGACGACAGAGCCTCCGCCCCCCCCCCCCACGGGCTGTTCCACTTAATTAGACTCGACGGACGATTGCACATGTGTCGGCTTGTCGTGTGCAATTTTAAGCATGCTAAGCTTACATGTACGACATCCGCTGGCCAGCCGCTTCAGATTCCGAGTCGAATGCCTGGCCGCAAAGGCCAGGCTTTGCCCTGCTCAGGATGAGTCGGTACAGTTCAGTCGAACTGGTTTTCATCACTTTGAAACTTTGCGGCTCAGCCTCACTCGTAGACTCAATGCTACTGCGGTTTATGTCATGGGGTTTCGTCGTTGCTTTTGTGGTCTCTTCAGCGACGGTATCAGCTAAGAATGCGACCACGGCGAGTACAACGTTTCCAACCAAGTCAGGGATCCGGGCGTGGGTCGACCCCGAGACGCCTGATGATCGTCAGACGTACGTCAGCTCTCGAGGACGGACGTGGGACCTCGTCATGAGTGTCGAGTTCAACACGCTCAATCGCAGCTTCCGACCGGGCGACGACCACATCTGGACATCTCTTGAAAAGCCCGACGGTGTCAACGGAGCCATGGAGCTGTACTCACATAACATGACGTCTACAATGTGCGACGACGACGGAACGTGCTTCTTCTACATCAAGGCTGTAGACGAAGTGAACGTCATTCATGTGTACAACATGTACACGCACCCTCCCGGATATGTGGATGCCTACTTTTTCTATCGAGCGGCGATGGTCCAGTCCTGGAATAAGTTCTGCTTTCAAGGTGGCATGTTGGATGTGCGCGCTCAGCTTCCTGGGGCTGTAACTGAAGCGTCTGGAAACCCGGACCTGGCGTTAGGGAAAAACGGCAAGGTCAAGACGACCAAGTACTACCCGACGTGGCCTGGAATCTGGATGATGGGGAATCTTGGTCGAGCCATCTTTTCAGCATCGACAAACCGAATGTGGCCGTTCTCCTACGATCGATGTGAGCTGGACGTGTTTGACCCGGCCAACCAGCGCATCAGTGCATGTGACGACAACCCTGGCTACGGTTTGAACCCGAATCAAGGTCGTGGTGCGCCTGAGATCGATCTGCTCGAAGGAGGTGGTCTCGCTGTGTCGTCGTCACTGCAGATTGCCCCCGGAATGCCGGATGACTACCGTCTTTTCCCTGTGGACACCTCAGCCGGAGACAACTTGTACTGCGTTTACGGCTATAGCTGCACTACTCCTGGCGCCAACTATATCGATGTCCCGACGGCATTTTACGAAATGGAACGTGGCCACAAGTCGTGGTACCAAGGCCTTCGGTATGCGTCAAACAACTTCTGCCAACCAGACGCTGACGCCAAACAGAACTACGCCTCGGTCACTGCGTCACTCAAGAAAGGAATCACAGAGAACTCATGTACAGCGTCTACATGTCCAGCTTCGGGTGATGTGAACGCTGACATCGGACTGATCGACGACAAAGGAGGAAACCACTGGGGGATTAACACGAACGGCACGTGCTACCCGCTTGTGAATTATACATGGGCGCGTACCTGTGCGATCCCGACAATACCTTCTCCAAGTGTGCTCTGCCTCGTAACGCGAGTACCACGCCCAAGTCGAATGCCATGAGCTCATTCAACTACCAGATGGACGCTATATCGTCGAACTGGCCCGGGCACCTTGGCGCGTACACTGGCTATGCTGAGTACCAGATTGAGTGGGTTACCGGCAAGAATGGCTACGTGCGATGGATGCTGGCTGGGAGTCCATTGTTCGAGGTTACGACGGACGCGTTTTCGAATGTACCTCAGAACTCGACCAAGACCAACCCACAGAAGGTGATGCTGGAAGAACCCATGTCCCTTATTCTCAACGTGGCGTTGTCGAGTTCGTGGGGCGCTACACCTCCGAACCCTGGCAAGGAATGCCGCGGAGACGGCAAAGACCCCGTCACCAACAAGATCTGTGACTCGTTCCCGATGTACCTCAAGATCGACTACATGCGGCTGTACCAGGACTCGGGTGATGATGTTGACGCGGACAACTACATGCAGGTTGGTTGTGACCCGAAGAGCCACCCGACCAAAAAGTGGATCGAGGCGCATATCGACGAGTACGAAGACGACGACAACCGCCACGAAGACGTGGCTGGGAAGGCCTTCTGCACCGTCGACGATGACTGCACGATCGGCGGAAATCTCGGCAAGACAGCGCTGAAGACAGGCAAGTGTGTGAAGAAGCGATGCCAGTGCACGTTCTCGTTGTCATGGGGCGGACCGCGATGCACAACGGCCATTTTGAGCTCGACAAGCTCAAGTTCGAGTTCAGTGTCAAAGAGCTCCTATGCCCCCCCCCATGGGGCTGTCGATCGGCATGGCGGCTGTTATTCTGTTCTTGTCCTTCATCTCGGTGTATTGGTCCATCTTCATGGTGGTGAAGCCTAAGTCAACGACGGAGAAGAAGCCCGATAATAGTGGCGACAGCCGAGTGAAAACGTCCTATACCAGCGACCAAGGTCGGCCACAGGACAACTACAGCCAGAACTTTGTCTAAGCTTTGTTGAATTGAGCACCCTATGACATCTACTGCACACGCATTTAAACGAAGTTCTGATGATAATTGTCTTTTGACAGCGTTGCGAGGTGCGAGGCGCGACTGCTGTTGGTTTCGCTGACCGGGACTGAGCTCACCGGATCAACCTTTTGCTCAGCCTCCATTATGGTCTTAGTCTTCTTCACAGTGGTGACGGAACCCGCGTGAACCACGACCATCGTCGCCAGAATAATCACACAAGTAACGGCAATTGCAGCCTCTATCGGAGGACCAAACGTCCTACTCATAAGACCAGCGGAACTCGACCCGGTGACGGCGGTAGTGCAGCGAGGACCACCCCACGAATGGTACAAACACTCACAACGCTGATTAATGCACTTGCCCGTCTTCAGAGCTGTCCTGGACAGAGTACCGCCGATGGTGCAGTCGTCACTAGTCTTACAGAACGCCTTACCCGAGACCTCCTCCCACTTGTTGTCGTCATCTTCGTACTCTTCAATGTGCGCGTCAATCCACTCTTTCGTCGGGTGACTGGCCGGGTCACAGCCAACGTGCATGTAGTTGTCGGCTTCGAGGTCATCCCCTAGATCTTGGTACAGACGGACGTAGTCAATCTTCATGAACATTGGGAAAGAGTCGCAGATAATGTTCGTCGTGTTGTCTTTGCCGTCACCGCGACACTCCTGGCCCGGGTTCGGAGGCGTCGTACCCCACGAACTCGATAGAGCCACGTTGAAGATCACGTACAAAGGTTCCTCAATCATAATCTTCTTCGGGTTCGTCTTGTTCGCATTCTGTGGTACGTTGACGACCGATTCAGTCGTGACCTCGAACAACGGCTCGCCATGTAGCAACCATCGAACGTAGCCATTCTCACCAGTAACCCACTCCACCTGGTAGTCATAGAAACCTGTGTATGCACCGAAATGGATCGGCCAGTTGGAAGAGATAGCGTCCATCTGGTAGTTGAAAGGTTTCATGGCATTCGACTTGGGCGTCGAGGTCTCATTACGAGGACTGGCGCACTTGGAAAACGTGTTGTCCGGGTCACACAAGTACGACCCCAAGTACGAGTTCATGAGTGGATAACACGTGCCGTTGGAGTTGATACCCCAGTGGTTCTTCCCTCCATCGATGAAGCTTAGGTCAGCGTTGACATCGCCAGAAGCAGGACAGGTATCGACAGCGCACGTGTTCTCGGTGACACCTTTCTTAACGGACGCAGCGACCGTGTCATAGTCTTGTACTTCTTCTGCATTCTGGTCACAATAATTGTTGGCAGCATAGCGAAGACCTTGATACCACGATTTGTGGCCGCGCTCTTGCTCATAGTACGATGCCGGGACGTCGATGTAGTTGGCACCGGGTGTCAGACAATTGTAGCTGTACAAACAATAGCTGAAGTCTCCGGTAGACGTGTCCACAGGAAAGAGACGATAGTCATCGGGCATACCGGGAGCGATCTGAAGTGAAGACGAGATAGCCAACCCACTACCTTCGAGCACGTCGATCTCGGGAGCCCCGCGACCTTGATTCGGGTTGAGACCGTAGCCTGGATTACTGTCACACGCGCTGATACGCTGGAAACTTGGATCAAAGACGTCGGCGTCACATTCATTGTACGAATAGGGCCACATCCGGTTCGTCGACGCCGAGAAAATGGCGCGCCCGAGGTTACCCAGCATCCAAATACCGGGCCATGTCGGATAATACTTTGTGTTTTGGACCTTACCGTCCTCTCCGAGTGCAACATCCGGGTTGCCTGAATCCGGGTCCGTCACCCCTGGAAGTTGAGCTCGTACTTCCAACATGCCGCCTTGGTAACAGAACTTGTTCCACGACTGTACCATTGCGCCACGATACCAGAAGTAGACGTCCTCGAAACTTGGAGGATGCGTGTACATGTTGTAGACGTGGATAACGTTCACTTCGTCGATGGTCTCAATGTAGAAGTAGCAGGTACCGTCGTCGTCGCATTTGGTCGAAGTCATGTTGTGAGAGTAAAGCTCAAGTGCACCATTGACACCGTCGGGCTTTTCAAGAGAAGTCCACATGTGATCGTCACCCGGTCGGAAACTGCGGTTAGCCACATTGAACTCGTCGCTCATCACAAGGTCCCATCGCCGACCGCGAGAGCTGGTATAAACGTATTTGTTCTTGGGAGTGTCGGCGTCCACCCAAGGTAGAAGACCCGACTTAGTGGGGTATGCCAAAGAGTTGTTCTTTGCCGTAACGAACACAGTTGTGGTCGTCCACCAGAGTGTCAAGACCGACACTGCAACGTATTGAGCGAGTTGCATCAGGATTCTTGGCTTTCTTGGGGAATTTAGGAATGAAGAACGACCTCAACAGCTCTAGGTGGTAAAACAGGGTGGAGAATAGAAGCCCAGAGATCTCGACAGGTTTCGGTGTCAAACGCGACAACTTTCAATGCAAACTGCTGGTCTCTTGGCGTGCTTCATAAAGCTTACGCTCGGTTCCAGCAGTTAGGTTGTCAACAACAGGTACCCATCCCCGAACAACTTAATGTTTGTAGAGAGCAAGATATTTGTTTCGCGTTGGATTTTTTCGCGGCTGACCGACGATCGCCTCATGATTTTGATTAAAATTTAGTCGGGGGGGGGGGGGCACTGCTGTACATGTACAGTATGCGTCACCAGTGAACGTTGACGTTTACATGTACGTTTCTTGCCTCGAGCGTTAGACTCCTAAGGATTGATCGATAATACATTTTCGCGATATCTGCCTCTTTGTGTTTGGGTCTTGTCAGCAGGCTGCAGGTTGGCTCGCGGCTGCCACCACAAACCAGTTACAATCTACCTCAGTAGTATTAAGAGCACTATTAGTCGTACTACCGGTAGTAGAATCCAAATATTACATGCAACAAATTGATACTTCGAGGTAGTAGTACAGTGGGTACAGAAAGTCTACGTCCAACGTCTCCTTGAGCACGTTGGCCCACGGCGTTTGGTCCCTGACGGTATTTAGATTGGTTACTATGCATGATATGAATGCCTGACGTGAAGGCTTTTCAACAAACTATCATTTGACCAGATTGACAGAAGCTGGTAGAAGTTGAGCCCACTCAAACAAAAAAGAAGTAAAATTATGGCAAAAAAAGTGAAAGTCTATTTTGTTATTCTCAACTTTTAAGAGCTGCTGTTAACACTTTTGCATCCCATGTTGTAGTAGTAGCCATACGAACACTATCTGAAGCTTTCACGCACCTTTAGTACTTCGTGTGACCCCCTCGGTTGTCTTTAACTTGAAGTAGGCGCTTCGGCATGGAGTGGTAGAGATCTTGAACGGTTTTCGGCTCGATATCGTACCAAATCTCCTGGATTTTCTCTTTCAAGTCGTCCACACTTGACGCAGGTCGTTTGGACAGTTCTTGCTTGACTAGAGCCCAGAGATTCTCGATTGGATTGAGATCTGGGCTCTGGGCTGGATGGGGTAGAAGTTCCACCTCTTTTTCTTTCAGGTAGTCTTTCACTAGACGAGCACGATGGCCAGGAGCACCATCCTGTACGAACTTGTAGTCGTTGCCAATACCAAGCACAGAGACCGTCGCTTGCAGATTTTGCTCCAAAATGCTCTTGTAGTATGCACCAGTAATATTTGAGTCACACATGTGAAGTGCACCCACACCCTCGTAGGTGATACATCCCCAAACCATCAAGGTCTCTCTCCCAGACTTAAACGTAGGGGCTAGACATTCGTTCTTGAACTCCTCCCCAGGCTTACGCCAAACAAAAACCCTCCCCGCAGCCCCAGTGAGCCATACAGACGACTCATCACTGAACACTACCTTTTTCCAGTCATCGTCCTTCAACTTCAACATCTGACGTGCATACGCATATCGCGCTTTGATGTTTTTCTTGCTCGAAAAAGGTTTTTTTCGAGCTGCACGACCATTTAAGCCTTCATCCTTAATGCGGTTTCGCACTGTTTGCTTTGACAGAGCGATGCCGTGGCCCTTTTCGACCACACTGACCAGCTTTCCAGCGCTAAGGCGTCGATTTTTCTTCGCTTCCCTCACGATCTGGCGGTCCTGGCGGACTGTCGTCTTCCGAGGGCGGCCAGAACGTAGTAAGGAGTGCGTGTGGCCGTTGTTGGAAACAATGGTTTTGACGCTAGAGACTCGGAGCTTGAGCTCATCCGCGATAGCCTGATAGGTTTGGCCGTCGTGGCGTTTTGCGACGCAGAGGTCGCGGATCTGCCGCGAATGCTCCACTCTAGATCCATTGAAAAACTGTTAGATAATGAGGCTGTCTGCGTTTTGGGGCTCTTAGAGTAGTGTATTGATCCAGCCAATCAGTGCAAATTATCATCGAATAGCGCAGACTGTAACGAATCAGAAGCTATTTTCACTTTGACGAGACGATATTTGCATCGCAAGTTATGGGGCGTCAAGGGGACAAAAAAGTCAACCGTTAAGCCATTCTGCGTTTTGCCATGACTGGCACAAGGTGTAAAAATTCAGGATTTGATCTCGCCAGCTGTTTGGACGTAGACATTCTGTACCCACTGTACTGCATTCTAATAAGCAAGTACTACAGCTCCTGCGACACCTTCTAAACGACTTCAAGCATAAAATATAAAGATGGCCGACTCAGCAAGACCGTTCTCCACCCCTCCTCCTTCTATCGACCCGAGCGTTTTCGCCGCGTTACCACCTGACATCCAAGAGGAGCTTCTCTCCTTACACAGCACCAGCGATGCCGCCACGCCGTTTGCGCGCTCCTTCTCCGCTCCAGACGACGTTCAGGACGCCTGGACCTGCCGCGTCTGTACGTTCCATAACCATCCAGAGCTCGCCGAGTGCGAAATGTGCGGAACTCTATGCATCGCTCTAGAAGCCGACGTCGATACTCTACAGGACGCAGACTCTACAGGATCTGAGTCCCGATCTAGACTAGGACGAACCCTGCGCAGACTCCGCGTGCCTTCCACACCGGCCACCCTCAGCTTTTCACAGAAGCGAGAGCCTACCGCTGAAGACCTGCTAGTGGCAGCTACAACCAAGCTGCAATCCGTTAAAGAATCCTGGAAAGGACGACGATCTCGGACCAATTCTACGAGTCAGGACAAGAACGGTCCTGCAGGGTTTCCGTCACCGCAGGTTATTCGAGAACTCACGGAGCTACAGAAGGACCTGACACGGAAGGTCTGCGCTGGCGACGAGTGGTTTGAGGCCTCATTAGAGCGACTGTGGAGAGCTGTGGGCGCTAGGACGCAGGACGAGAAATACGACCGGAAGGACGTGGACTGGGTGCAGCTGGGGTTCCAGAATGCCAGTCCCGAGACGGACTTTAGAGGAGGAGGCGTGCTGGCTGTGAAGTGTCTGCTGTACGCGTTTGAAGCGCATCCGATGGAGATGAGGGCGATTCATTACGAGCAGATGCCGGACGCGCAGGACGGGAAACACAAGAGATGGTACCCGGTCTGTGTCGCTGGAATCAACTTGACGTGCTTGTTGGCGGGGCTCTTGCAACTGGGAGACGGGAGGTTCGCAGACAAGAAGAACGCTTACTGGCCGCTCTTTGAAGAACCTGCCGCATTCTATGAGCTCTTCTTCTTGGGTAAGCGAATCGAGGAGCAGTGTGGTTGACTAGGAGCTGACTTGTCAACGCTTTGAACCAGCTTT